CATGCAGTGGCCTGATGACAAATGCATTATGTACCTTTAAATCACCAAAGCCATGTTAACATTTACTGCACATGTTGAACAATGCAACCCTTTTGTTAGTGTCATTGATATGGAAATTCATATACAATATTCAGTTCATAAGCATTCACAAATAGGGGTAGGCAACCCTGGTCCTGGAGTGCCGCAGGCACTTCATGTTTTTTATTTAACCGACCTGGAAGACCAGGTGTGTTGAATTTAGGCAATCGCTGAACTGATCAATAAGCTCAGTTGATCAGGGATGCGTTCAGTACATAAAAACATGATAGAACAGAAGCAGTGCTGTACTGATGACCAGTTGAAAAATGGGGAAGGGTTGGGTTGTGGGTTCAAAATGCACCACTGCCCTTTAAATACATCACTCGTTGCTTCAAGCCACACCCCGGCACACCTACTGAACAGAGCAAACATATCTCAAAGTCTGTTCAAGAACGTTTTGGGAAAATGTGTCGTTCAGTACAAACCGTTCCGCAACGTAGAAAACGTTCAAGGGAACTGAACGCACCCATGGTTTAGGGCCTAGTTGGAACAAAATACTGCAGTACCTGTTGCACTCAAGGATCAGGGTTGCCTACGGTGAAGCAACTGCTGTGCAAAGTATTGGGCAACAGCTTTCTTCCAGGGCCCATATTCACAAAGCGTCTCAAAGTAGGGAGTGATCTACGATAACCTCCCCCTTGTCAATGTAATTGTACTCCGTGTGATCCTAAAATCAGTACTCCTACTCTGAGATTCTTTGTGAATCGCTAGCCTGTCAGCAATGCCACTCCACATGAAATGCAACAAAAACATGAATAAGAATTAGCTTAGTCAGTCAATAACTTAGTTAACTATACTGAACAAAAATAAACGCAACATGCAACAATTTCAAAGATTTTACTGAGTTACAGTTCATGAGGAAATAAGTAAATTGAAATACATTTATATCTATGGATTTTACATGACTGGGAATACAGATTTGCATCTGTTGGTCACAAATACACTACCGTTCAAAAGTTTGAGGTCACTTAGAAATGTCCTTCTTTTCGAAAGAAAAGCAATTTTTTTGTCCATTAAAATAACATCAAATTGATCAGAAATACAGTGTAGACATTGTTCATGTTGTAAATGGCTATTGTAGCTGGAAACTGCTGATTTTTAATGGAATATCTACATAGGCGTACAGAGGCTCATTATCAGCAACCATCAGTCCTGTGTTCCAATGGCACGTTGTGTTTGCTAATCCAAGTTTATCATTTTAAAAAGGCTAATTGATAATTAGAAAACCCTTTTGCAATTATGTTAGCACAGCTGAAAACTGTTGCGCTAATTAAAGAAGCAATAAAACTGGCCTTCTTGAGACTAGTTGAGTATCTGGAGCATCAGCAATTGTGGGTTCGATTACAGGCTCAAAATGGCCAGAAACAAAGAACCTTCTTCTGAAACTCGTCAGTCTATTCTTGTTCTGAGAAATGAAGGCTATTCCATGCGAGAAATTGCCAAGAAACTGAAGATCTCATACAACACTGTGTACTACTCCCTTCACAGAACAGCGCAAACTGCCTCTAACCAGAATAGAAAGAGGAGTGGGAGGCCCCGGTGCACAACTGAGCAAGAGGACAAATACATTAGTGTCTAGTTTGAGAAACAGGTGCCTCACAGGTCCTCAACTGGCAGCTTCATTAAATAGTACCCACAAAACACCAGTCTCAACATCAACAGTGAAGAGGCGACTCCGGGATGCTGACCTTCTAGGCAGAGTGGCAAAGAAAAAGCCATATCTCAGACTGGTCAATAAAAAGAAAATATTAAGTCTGACATATGGCTTTTTCTTTGCAACTCTGCCAGTACTCAACTAGTCTCAAGAAGGCCAGTTTTATTGCTTCTTTAAATCAGCACAACAGTTTTCAGCTGTGCTAACATAATTGCAAAAGGGTTTTCTAATGATCAATTAGCCTTTTAAAATGATAAACTTGGATTAGCAAACACAACGTGCCATTGGAACACAGGACTGATGGTTGCTGATAAGGGGCCTCTGTACGCCTATGTAGATATTCCATTAAAAATCAGCCGTTTCCAGCTACAATAGCCATTTACAACATTAACAATGTCTACACTCTATTTCTGATCAATTTTCTGTTCTTTTAATGGATAAAAAAATTGCTTTTCTTTCGAAAACAAGGATATTTCTAAGTGAACCCAAACTTTTGAACGGTAGTGTACATGATCAACATTTTTGACCGGGAAGCAATTTTTATTAGCCAGAAGTTGACAGGTTAGTTGACATAACATAAAATACAGTACCTTCCATAACTCCAACTGGTGGCCAATGTTGGGAGTGCTGTGTGTTCTCACAGCACAGGTGGCACAGAAATATTTATCTGAGCCACAATCCCCACAGCACCATAGCTCAGCCTCCTCCAAAACTCTACACACACTGCAGATGGCGTTGGGTGGAGGACATTCCAGCTCCACAGCAGGCATGTGGAGTAGCTCCCTCAACCCCTTCCAGGCCTCAACATCAGCTGCCTTCCTTTTTTTGATGCTGGTGGAGGAGGTGCATCAATGCAGCTGGGCACAACTTCTGCTGCACAGGGAACCGGCTCTGTTCTCCCAGTACTCCCTACAAAGTAGTGACAATTGTTACTGAGTGGACTATCCTGGTTAAATTAAGTTCAACAGAACAACTTTCTCACCGATCCAAGTTGATGGCAGGGGTGTACGTGCTATCACGCCTCTAGTCAGGTCTCTGTAAACCAGCGTGGCTCTTTTTCTTCTAAAAGATGGCATCTGTAAAAAAAAACAAGACAATGACAACTAAGTTTGATTTATTCTAAATGAAGATATAATATTAATTACATTTAAATGATCTGATACATAGGACACATAATTATCTACTGTATCATAATGCATGACTAGTGGAGTTACTTTGCTTTCACAAAATGATTTTCTTATAGTGAATCTAAAGACAGTTATGGGTAGGAAGTTGTGCTTCGCATGGACATTAAATAGTCTGAAATGCCTCCAGACAGGTGATGACACATCTTTGGGCTTCAACAAGCATGGGACAGGAATATTTGGGGCATCTTGGCTAATGGATGATTATTGTTGGAATTGTTATAATGTACCATCTAATATTTGCCTAGTCTAGTGGTTGTCAACTTTTTTGGTCATTGTAGGCCCAATCACATCTTGCTCTGCCCATAGTGCCTTCAAAGTACCCCCTCATATGCATTTTAAATGTAGGCATATCATATGAAATATGAGTCTTTCTAAGTACCAACTTTGGATATTGGTTCCTGGTTATATGAATGGTGTAAGCATTGGCTAGAGAGTTTAAATCCATGCGAGAAAGTGTACTATTGCACACTTTGTCTTAAATATACATATTTTTCCCGGAGACAAGACACGCAGGCTTGCACCGAAAACGACACCATGCCATGGTTCCCGGGAAATTTAAGCCGAAAAGACTGCTAATGCAAAATTGCAAATCCTTTTAAATGGATTTATATTCAAATCGAATTGCACTCAATACATATTATTCCCTACTATGGGTCATATTAGCGGGCTATCCCGGATTCTAAAAAGTAAAAACACTTTTTAGAATCCATTAAATTAGGTTTTTAAAATAACAGTAAAAATATACGATTAATTACCTTTGACGAAGGGAAAGGACATCAGAATATCTTCTTATAGTTTTAGTTACAGCGCAATAAAAATGGTCATTACCGCCACCAACGTATACGGGGTGTAATAACAGCCGTGGTTAATGCTTTTTGCCTACTCGGAAATTACGATATGAAACGTTGATTTGAACCTTCTAACCAACTAGTGGATCAGGCGGCGCCCCACTGTCTGATTCATATCGCGTGATTTCTGATGATTGTTCTCGATTATATCGACTGATTGGTTCTGTATCGAGTGATTGAGAAACGCGTGACATTGATCAACCAATGGTGTGTTAGATACCACCTACAGACGTTTGATTGACCCCCCATCCCCCATCATATTGGCGGAAGAAATACAGAAATACATTAATTTTATTTTAAATAAATAATTAAATACTGGTATATGTAGAGAACATTAATTCATTTTATTCCGTATTTTTTATTTCCTTGCTAATTTCTTTAAATATGTGTGGCTTATCTGTCATTTATATGTAAATGTATTTAGAATTATGGCAGGTTTGATTCTCCATAGTTTTGAACGCAGCATAATTAGCCGCAAAGGTTGTGGTAACGTTAGCAGGATCCATCCTCTTTGGCAACCGGGTAAAACCTTTGTATATTTTCTACAAACAAATGGTTTGTCAAAATAACTAATTTGAGGCGTTTCTGAGCTAGCTTGGCCAATGAGAAAACAATGATAACCTTTGGTCGGGAAAGCCAGAAAGGGGTGTGTGAGTGTGCTGTAGTAGCGTAGTTCACTAATTTACCTACTAGCCGTGGGGCTGCTATCAAGTTTGGAAATAATTTGGACAGGGTAGTTTTACACACCTTGCTGTAGTTTCATTTGTAAACAGTTTGTCGTAAAAAAAAAAAAAAAAAAGGCTATGTATATGTTGTAAGATCGCTTACCTTGCATGTTTGTTTGCTTGCTTGCTCTACCTGTATGAAATATGCATTCCATAGCGAACACATCACATTTCACCCCCCTCAAAAAGTTCGCCATGCTTTTATTGAGTCACGTGATCGAAGAAAATGGCTTCTTGAAGCGAGTTCTGTCAAATGTGTTGCTAAAACTCCGGTAAAAGTAGAAATTCTAGATACCTGAAACTGAATGCTAGTATTAATATTGGACTGAAGGATTTGTAACTTCAATCTCAGAAATCGTTATGCATAAGTAACCATTCTACTTTCGGTTTTTCGTGATTCTCAGGAAGATGGGTGGGCAGCAGACCTCAACTGTCGTAACTTAAGATAGCTAATGTAAGCTAACTAACAAATCTGTCTCGACATAAGCACCAAAGTCAACCGAACAACATGCCTCCTCGGAAAAAGCGAGAGAACAGAGACACCGATGATGGTCCCAGGAAACGACGACGAGCAGATGATCAGGAAGAGGGCAGAGTTGTCATCTCAGACAGCGACGAGGTAACCAGTTGATCTAACGTTACTGTAGTTAGCTAGCTGGTAACACACTGACTAGCTAGCGAACTACCTTCACACACTAGACGCAGAACTACCGAGCTAGCTATATTTTTGTGTAAAGGGACCTTTCATTCAATCTTAGCTATAACATAAAGACTATATGGTATACTTGATAACTGAAGCAGAGAGACTGCTAGGCCGATAGTTATCAAGCATAGTATACAGTCTTTATATTATAGATAAGATTTAATTATATGTCATCTCTCTTCTAACCCAGGATGAAGACTTCAGACCAACATCATCATCATCAAGAGAGGAGCGCAGACAGGAGAAGGAGAGTAAAACACGATCAAACGGTATACTGTCCAACATATGTCTCCTTATTTGTAGCTAATTAGACTAATCATTTTCATGTAGCACATCACTCGAATGCAACTATTGAAGCACTGCTAGATGGAACTTTAATCTACTGTACTGAAACTGTCCCTTCTCTTCTCAGAGATGACGGAGGAGAAGATGCTGGACCTGGCCATGAGGCTAAGTAAACAGGAGGCCAGTAGCGCTGCTCTCAGGCAACAACAGGAGGAGGAGGCCATGAGGAAGGCCATTGCTGAAAGCCTCTACGTAAGTGAAGATAATACTGACAGAAATAAAATGTCGCCTGGAGATTTCCTCTAGCACAGACCTCGCTATTATTTCAGATCAAACCAACCATTTGTATTGCATTCTATCTATTCCTGTGATACATGAGTGTTGCTGTATCCCTCCAGGCAGACAGCCCTACTCATCCCCACTCAGAATCTCTGCTCGGGGCAGGGAGCCCTACCCAACAATGTCAAAATTACCCTCCAGAGGGAGAGAGCAGCATACGTAAGCTCTCCTACCCAAACCATGGTGTGGCTGACAGACAGGGAGCCCGCGGAGGAGGTGTTAGTGTAGGGGTGGCTCCCTCAGACAGGAGGGGGAAGAAGGAGGGAAGCCCATTACGAGATATGCCTGACCTGTCTCAGACCCAGAAGGTCTACTCCCAGTCCTCCCCCCTCAGCCAAGCTTCCACCTCTGTGCCTCTCCCTTCCTCACAGGTCAGTGGTGCACACACACAGACCTATGTCATTATTTATCTGTCATTGCCTGTTCAACCCTAGCTGTTGCTATGCATTTCTTCAGGGGCTTCTATGGGCCCAGATCTAACTAACTACGCTTATACCTTAAGACTTAAATAATGTATGTGTTAAGTTCTGGTGACAGCAGGGTAGAAGAACCAACTACATACTTATATCTAAATGTGTTTTTAACATAACAATGTTAGCAAAACTCTTCACTCATCACAGGCTAAGAATGCATGCCAGATCAGTTCTTATGATGTTTTTATGATAACATCTTCTATGCCATTTTAAGGAGGAGGGGTCTTCTCAGAGGAACCTTTTCGGAGACAGCACAGCCAAAGCAATAGAATCTCAGGACTACAACAACTCCACAAAGAGTGACTCCCAGTCCCAACTCAGGATCAAGTCCCCTGTGTTCCCTTCCACTACGGCCCTCCAAGCCAGCAAACCTGTCCTGTGCCTGGAGAAGCTTAGCCAGAACCTCCTTGTAGACTGTCAGGCCTCTGGGTTCTTACTAAAGGGTCATCCCAGCTTAACGCTTACCACAAAGTCCCAGAAATCTCAGTCTTATCAGCCCAAGAGCCCCACATTCTCCAATACCCCTGTGTTCTCCAGAACAGAGAGAGGTGCAGGTGAGGAACCAGGCCAAGGGAGTCCCTCCTTTCCTAAACACGGCATGTTCTCTAATAGTGATTCAGGAGAGGAAGAAAAAGAGGCCAGTCCCACCGTTCCAAAAAGCCTGCTCATTTTCAAGACTGATAGAGGAAAGGCAGAGGAACAAGGGAGTCCAACTTCTCCTAAAAGCACCATGTTCTCTAAGACTGAGACCTTCCCTGGAAGTCCAGTCTTTCCCAGAACTGATCAGATAAGGGACCAGGGTCCACAGAGCGCTGTTGAACATGTCTCTACAACAGGAGACTATGAGGATGGAGATATAGAGGATCCTCCAGAGTGTTCAAGTCATAGGGTCCCTGCTGTGAAGAGCAGGGATGGCTCAGTGTGCCTGCTACCACGCCCCAGAACAACCCTGTCCCTAAACAAGAGATTTGTGCCTATAAGGAAGACAGCTGGAGTTTCAGACAAAGTTGTTGACCAAAAGGAACGTGAGGGTGAATCCTCGCAGAGAACTGTAAACAGGATTAGCACGCCTGCAAAGTTGGGTATGGTGTTTTCCTATTGTTTTAACAACTGTCATACATACAAAGCAATGTTACGATCATACATTGAGTTTGAATGAGAACAAGTAATACAATTATGGCAGATTCAAATGGCCTCTCTGCCTGCCCTTTGGCTTTTTATGTTCAGATTCTATGTATGTATTGACATGATTGTTCTCTTTAGTTGCAGAAGAAGACCTTCATTCAGAAGAACTTACGTTGGCTTTGGAGACTCAGCCAATGCAGGAGTTAACCAGTAATATGGCGCTACGCTGGTCAGATGATGACGAAGAGGAAAATGGTCCTGCAAAGGTGAAGCCAGGGAACTACAAGATTGTCTATCACCAGTACTGTTATATAGCTTTTGGCCTCACCTGAAACCTAATTTACTGTGTATTGTGAAAACATCTCTTTCTCTCTCTCTCTTACAGTCAGCTCACTCGCCCAGCCCAGTCTTCCCACAGGAGAATGACCTCGCTCAGCCAAGCAACCAGGGTCTCTCCCCAAACACCCACCATTGTTCCCCCCCACACAGGTACAGCCCCTGCCTCGTCCCCAAGAAACGCATTCACACCGCCGAAGATGCTGCGTGCGAGGAGGTGGAGAGCCAGTCCAAGTGCATCCGGAAGAAGTTCACCTTCAAGGGCATGTATGGAGCCCCCCCTCCCTGTCTCCCCAGACAGGTTGCAGGTAGAGGGAGCCAGGATGAGGCCAAAGCCGGAAGCCCCTCTTCCCACCAGGCCCAGTGCTCCTCGAGCCGCCTCTCTCCCCCCACAGACGGCCAGGGTGATGGGGGAGTGGTGCGCTACTACTGGGGGGTGCCTTTCTGTCCGCGGGGGCAGAACCCAGACGCCTACACGCAGGTGATCCTTCTTGGTCTGATGTAGTTTTCATTAATTTTTTTTCTCACACAGACATTCTCTGGATTATGAGTCAATGTGGGTAACTGACATCTGGGAACACAAAAAGGGGGGATATGAAAACTGTGTGCTATTGTATTGTGTAAGAAAAGTTCCATCCATTATTTTGTAATATTTCATTGATCTGATGTCAGATGTCATGACTTCTAACTGTAAGTGTGTAACTAATAGAAATTACATGATTTTCCTTACAGGTGATCCTGTCCCAGCTGGAGGTGTATGAGAAGAGCCTGAAGGAGGCCCAGAGGGGTTTGCTGAGGAAGGCAGGCTGGGGGGAGCCAGTCCTCCCTGGGCCCCCAGAGAGACCCTTCTCCAGGAGGGGACGCCCCGAGAGACACAGGGCCTCACGACTCCTGGAAGAGGAGGAGAGAGGGGAAAAACGTCAGGAAGAGCTAGTGGAGGTGGTAGAGGATGATGAAGAGGAGGGAGAGAAGAGGGAGAGACGGCGGTCACGGAGGGGGGCAGAAGGGAGAGGAAGACAGGAATGGAAGGACTGCCAGGCACTGTTTGTGTCCTCTCCTGAACAAGAGGAAGTGAGTATTGCTTAATATTTAGAAATGCCTACTATAGGCAGATTGGCGCAATACATTTATGTATTTTCGTAGGCTGTGTTAATATTTATTAATTTTTCTTTAGAAGTATCAATCATATCAAAGGCTGTGATGGTGCTACAGTACTTAGTAGAAGTTCCTTGTTACACTATCTAACCACCAGATGGTGCTATCAAATACTTACAATCCCAATGTGTTAATATAATACGGGATAAAAAACAGTGTCTCTCTTTTTGGATAGACACATTTTATTATGTGGAAAGGTCAATCCACTTGATGTTTTTCCCCCAGCAAATTATTTCTTTGTTTTGTCTTCCCATAGAAATCTCCCTCACCTGTATTTCATGCAGATTCCAGTCAGCTAATTCAACTTCGAAGGTAAGGGAGGCGTAAACTGCAAAATCATACAGTATGGACCTAGCTTGTCTTTAATCTCAATGATACAAGTGTTTTAATTGTGCACAAGAATGAAAAAATGTATAAAGAATTCAGAGTTGATTTCTCCTTTCCAGGAGACTTAGCCTTAGAAGAGAAGAGAAAAGACTGGCAGAAACACAACTGCCTGACTTACCGGAGGAGAGGGAGGAAGACGAGAAGGAAGAAAAGAGGGATGATGAAGAGGATGGAGAGAAGAGGGAGGAGGAGGAAGAAGGGATGGGGGAAGAAGAGGTGGATGTCGGAGGCTTAGAAGTTCAAGGTATAAGAAATTACGTTTCATTATGTAATTATTCCATAAACCAGTAGGTATATATGGTTCCATTTAGAACGTAATACTAAATGTTGTGAGCTTCATATGTAGCTGTAATTGTCATGCCACTACTTCTCCTTGTTGTTTCTGATGGCAGAGACCCAACTCAGTGACGACAGCACTCAAGACCTCATGGTCACCAGCCCTGAACAGGTTAGTCACTTCAGCACTACCAAAGACACTCATACACAGAGCATTCGAACTACGGTTCTGATTGATTCTCCTTATTTTACCCAACACCTAGAAATAATGGGTGTGTACATAGAATTGTGAGGTTATGGTTTAACATTTACATTTGAGTCATTTAGCACAGTGGTTCCCAAACTGTGGTGCACGCCCCGGGGACGGCAGGGTGGGCGATGGGGTCCCCCCCCTCCAAAAATAAAACTGTCCGGTTTTCAACTTACTCTTGAAAGTTGTAATAGTAGAATCAAATGCACAAGGTGCAATTTCGAAATTGGGTAGTTCATCATCAGTTTCTCTTGTCATGTCAGTCATTGCATACCTTAGAGAGCTATTTATAACTTGTCAGAAATGTCCAGATCAACTAGCCCATGTCAGCTAGTGTTTTTTTGCTAGGTTTGTTAGCCTATAGATTTTGTTGTTATGTTTAAGTCACTCAAATATCACATGAATAGACATTAGACATGGCAAAATGTGTGGAATTGCAGGAAATAAGCTTTAAACCTGCAAAATGTCCTCTCCGCCAACAACAGGGGTGTGAACAGTTTGCGTCATGAACAGTGCTTGTACCCATAGAAATATGGGGCGCGGGATGTTCCCAAATGCAGGAAGAGGGGCCTGAGTGAAAAGGTTTGGGAACCCCTGATTTAGCAGACACTCTTATCCAGAGCGACTTATGTCTATGATGGTTGTGTTGTCTATGGTTTGATTTGGTAACCCATAGCCCCAGCCAGAGAGCCAGTCCCTGCCTCGGATCCAGACCTTTCTTTCATCACCCCGTACTCTGGAACAGCGTGAAGAGGGGATGTTGGTGGTTGGAGAGGAGGAGGAGGGGCGGAGGAGTGGCCCTGTGGTGATCCCTGCTGTAGGAGAGGATGTTAGGATGGAGGAGGAGGGGGATATCCCAGAGCCTGCCTTCCCTCAGAGCCCCAGCCCCAGCATGGACTGTCCCATGTGCATGCATCCCTTCTGCCTGACGGAGATTGAGATGCACGCTGCCTACTGTGACGGTACCACCGATATCATGGAGGAGGAAATGGCAGAGAGCCACTTGCAGGGTGATATGATTTTCCTCTTGTAGGACAATACATCTGATTCTGAGTAGACACAGCACAGCAGACCAGCATGCTGAAAATTATTAACTTGTCAATGTCACCAAATTGTACAGTACCCACCAATATGGTATTTTATACACCTACAGGACTGATGTACATACAGTAAAACAGTACTGTTGATATGTAGTTTCAGTCAAGGCTCGTAGAAAGAGGACCAGAAGGGGAGAAATCATTGGAGAGGAGCAGCCCAGCTCTTCTGGCGCTGGCAAGTAGGTATGACAGCATTTACCTTGGTCTAGCAGCACGTCTTACTCAGGGGTTACTTTGGGATTTTGTTGTGAGTTCCATCTACTGTGTGTCCCATCCTAAGGTGGTGAAAGTAAATTCCCCTTACTCCCCCTTCCTATAATACCTATACATGTTAACAAATGTGAATTCATGGAAGAGAAGCAACTGATGTTCATACCTTTTCTACATGTGTGTTGTCTTGTTTCTATATGGTAGTTGTCTTGTTTCTACAGGTAGCTTAGTGGGTAAAAGCGTTGTGCCAGTAACCGAAAGGTCGCTGGTTCTAATCCCCGAGCCGACTAGGTGAAAAAATCTGTCGATGTGCCCTTGAGCAAGGCACTTAACCCTAATTGCTCCTGTAAGTCGCTCTGGATAAGAGCGTCTGCTAAATGACTAAAATGTAATGTAATGTCTTCACAGCAGGGTGGTACAGGGAGAGAAGTGCTTCCTGTGTCAGCAGCTGTTTCCTCTCAAGGACCATGAGAAGCATGTAGAGGACTGCTTCAGGAACCAAGAGGTCTCCAAGGCTGCACCCAGAGACGGACAGGTACTCCAGGTTAGCAGTACTACACACACTAGTAGTTTTTTCTTCTTCTTCCTGGCACTGATTCTGTGGATAGCGGCTATTTCAACGAAGGGTCTACTTGCAATGACTGTGATATGTGGTTGTTTGTCTTACTAAACTTGGTTGAAAGCACTTCAAGTTGCTCCGGATAAGAGTGACTGCTAAATGACCATAGCTCTTCTGATCTTTCTTCTCTCTGTGTGACGATCTTCCAGAGTGGAGACTTGCTGAGTGCTCTGGACCAGACAGAGCATAGAGATTCAGGTACTGTACTCTTACTTTCTGTGATTGGATTGTTTTACACTTTCCAAATGCCTCTTTCCACCATGTTTGAATGGGAGAAAAAGAGAGCCAATGTTTTCACTCTACTTGGTCTCTTTCTAGGGACTGGTGAGGCCGAACCATGTGATACTACCTTCAATAACCAACAAAGGTAAGCAAAACAACAGGAAATAGTGATGGATTTTTTTGGGAAAACTCCATTTGACTGTTAATGTAGTACCCACCCACGGTGACATAGATTGTGCCACGTCTGGGATAGGGAGGGGAGTCTGATAAGCGGACACTAGTTGTCTGTCAAGGATATACCCTGATAGTTAGTTCTCTGAAGCATTATAGCAAGTCTATTACATGCTTATAAGACTTCATAATTGTCCATAGTGGACTAAGGCTGTTAGTATACCCCTATTTAAGTAGTTATTCATTTGCAATTTTCTGCTGGTTTAATAGTTCATAAACACATGACATTTTTCTGTTCTGAGTTTAGTGCTGGTCTACGCTTGATTGGGGGCTCCAATCAGAAACGCAAATGTTCACTCTCCGTTGCATAATGTTTTCCTACGGTCTACCCCAATGAACATGACCCTGCTCTGGTTAACCTTGTGACTTTTATTCCAGTAGCCTGATTGATGATCTGGACACAGCAGAATCTGGGGGAAGTGGAGACTTCGCCACCCCAGGTTTCAGAGTGAGCACCTCGCCCATCCAATCCTTCACCCCTGTCTCAGAAGCCACAGACTGCCTTATCGACTTCAAACGCCAATGCTCTTCCTCTACCTCCTCTTCCTGCTCCAGGCCCAGCCAAAGAGGGAGATTAAAACGATAGTTTACTACAAAATGTAAAATACTGTCAACCACTTTTTTTTTATACCACTGCATATCTTTTCTTTGTATTGTTTGTTACACAGATTTGAATGATAATGTGTGTTATTAATATGGTATTAAATTATACTGAGATACCTTTTGATCTACTTTCTTTGGGAGACATGTTTGTTGGATAGGTTACTATGTTGATGTGTAGTGGATGTCATGAGGTATAAGTGTAGTTCTAAACTATTTCTCGCAGGAATACATATAGAAATCTATGCAAGAGTCGGTTCACCTTTGCATACCAACCAAAAGAATGCACACATCAGTGACCAAACAGTCACAGCGACCCAAACCGTCCCCATTGTACAGTACTGGGTTGTATTTAGGAGGGGGGAGAGCTATCAAGTTACACCAGCCCTCTTCATCAGTGCCACTGTGGCTGTATGATTGTGATAGAAATGCAGTGCTACCAGTGTAAACAATGATTGCAAGAGGACTGATTGTCAATTGCAGGTAAGCATTTCTTCTATTTATTTCCAGTTATTTTGTAGTGAATTTAGGTATACTCTGTCAAGTTCATTTCGGTTATATTTTTGTTTTATGGTATATCAAGTGTATATGGTAGGGCTATTTACACCTGATGTTGCATGGAGTATTTCCTTCCAAAGTATACTGGAAATGTGTACATTCTTCTGCCAACACTACAAGCATATCAAGTTTTAATAAGTGATTACATCCATGGAATGTGTTATAGAAGTACAGTTAACACTGCTATTAGCATCTAAGCTCTCTGTCATCTGTGTACCATTCCAGTGAGCCTATATCCACCCAGCTGAGCAGCAAGATGGCCGAACTCAGCCAGGATGCCTCAGACCCAGTCAGCATATACATATCCGCAGACACCTTCCACATGGTACACCTGCTGTGTGTGACCTTATAGCTGCATTGCGTCCTTCCTTCCTCTGCAGGGGAAAATTGTCTCCCAGCCTTTCCGTCTCCGAGGAGGACGAGGACCTAGGAGAGGTGTCATCTCACCTGCAGAAAGACCTGAATAAAAGACTGGGCAAAGACACCAAAAGGCTCCTCTTAAGATGCTTCCCACCTTTGTGAGGACCACACCTAATGGAACAGGTATGTTATGACAGGACATGCTCATCAATGGTCTCGATGTGGTCCAGCTAAAGCGTCTTATCTGGACTGAATTTTGTACTCTAGGAAAGTCGAAACTACTCTGGTTGTCTTCAACAGAGACTGGTGACTTCCTTGCACTAGACTTGGGAGGGACTAACCTACGTGTCCTCTGTGAAGTTAGGAGAGGGGGATCAGCAGCACGAAAGACGTTTACCCCGTCCATGAGGAGGTCAATACATCTGGAAAGGTAGGCGTTAACGTGTGAGTGTTAACCCACTGTCACGGATGCCGCCGAGGCTGCTCCTCCTCCTTGCTCGGGCAGGCTTCGGCGTTCGTCGTCCCCGGAGTACTAGCTACTGCCGCTCGATGTTTCGATGTTTGTCTTGTATTGTCTAGTTGGTACACCTGTTTCGTATTCTGTATTGATTATGTACCATATAAGTTCCCTTGTTTTATGTTTGCCTTTGTATGTTATTGTCCGCGTCTCTTGTATGTATGTTCGGCATTGACCATCTTGTTTATTACGCACTCCGCGTACATTGCTCCTCTTGTGTTTGGAGGCTTTTGTTTTGTGCGTATTTTACTTTGGAAAGTAAAGTAGTTGTTACTGATCCTCTGTGTCCTGCGCCTGACTTCACCGCCGCATACACCTCAGCATTGACAGAATAACACACCACCCATGGAGTCAGCAGGAGCAGCGGCGGTGACCGAGTCACTGGAGGATCGGGTCAGCAGCCAGGACGCCATGATCCATAGACTCGGCTCCGCCATGCAAGACGTGATGGACACCCTGCGCCGATGGGAAAGAGGAGGCTTGCCCACACCTCCTCCTACATTACCCCCACCATCGGCCAGCCCCATCGTACCATCTCCGGAGTCCAGTGGGATTCGGCTCTGGCTCCCGAGGGCATATGATGGCACCGCAGCCGGGTGTCAGGGTTTCCTACTTCAAGTGGAACTCTACCTGGCAACAATACACCCGGCGCCCTCGGGATACGAGAGCGTTTCCGCCCTCATCTCCTGTCTATCCGGCAAGGCTTTGGAGTGGGCCAATGCCGAATGGAGGGGAATAGACGCCGCCACCATCAGCTACACAGAGTTCTCCCGCCGCTTCAGGGCTGTTTTCGATCATCCCCCAGAGGGTAAAGCGGCGGGGGAGCGTCTGTTCCACCTCCGACAGGGGAAGAGGAGCGCACAAGAGTTCGCCCTGGACTTCCGGACTCTAGCGGCGGATGCGGGGTGGAATGAGAGGGCCCTCATCGACCACTATCGGTGCAGCCTGCGAGAGGACGTTCGACGAGAGTTGGCCTGCAGGGACACCAATCTAAACTTCGATCAGTTGGTGGACATGTCGATCCGTCTGGATACCCTGCTGGCTACCCGCGGACGTCCGGAGTTGGGGCCGTCCATTCCATCCCCCAGCACCTCCGAGCCGAGCCCTATGGAGCTCGGGGGTGCTGGCGCTAGAGAGAGGAGGAGAGAGATCCGGAGGGAGGCCGTCCTCTGCACCAACTGTGGCCGTAGAGGACACACTGCGGTTCTGTGCTGGGGAGGGTCTCCAGGGGATCGAGGCAACAGGTCACGCACTGGGGAGTCATTCCAGGTGAGTAGGCGCCCAACTCACCCAGAGCTCTCTGTTGTTCACCTGTGTATACAAGTAGTATTTCCCCAGGTTGCATCTCATTCCCAGCATAAGGCGCTAGTCGATTCAGGCGCAGCTTGGAATTTTATTGATCGTAATTTTTGTGTTAAGTTAGGGATTCCCCTCCTACCAGTAGATGTGCCCTTTCCTATTCATGCCCTAGATAGCCGTCCGTTGGGATCTGGGTTGATTAGGGAGGTCACAGCGCCACTAAAGATGAGGACGCAGGGGGGTCATGAGGAGATCATTCAGTTGTATCTGATCGACTCTCCTGCGTATCCCGTGGTGCTGGGACTTCCTTGGTTAATCTCCCATGACCCCACCATTTCGTGGCAACAGAGGGCTATCAAGGAGTGGTCTGACCAGTGTGTCGGGCGGTGTCTAGGTGTTTCCGTAGGGGCGACCACAGTGGAAAGTCCGAACCAAATGCCCGCACTGCACATTCCTCCTGAGTATGATGATTTGGCACTCGTGTTCAGTAAGACGAGGGCGACGCGATTGCCACCTCATAGACAGGGGGATTGTGCGATAGACCTCCAGGCAGGTGCTGCACTTCCGCATAGTCATGTGTATCCTCTGTCTCAAGAGGAGACGGCGGCTATGGAGACATACATAGCCGAGTCTCTGAGACAGGGATACATACGGCCCTCCACTTCTCCTGTGTCCTCAAGTTTATTTTTTGTGAAGAAGAAGGATGGAGGGTTGCGCCCGTGTATTGATTACCGTAGTCTCAATCAGATCACTGTTAAATACAGTTATCCTCTCCCTCTGATTGCGAGTATGACGGAATCATTACACGGAGCGCGTTTCTTCACAAAACTGGATCTCAGGAGCGCCTACAACTTGGTGCGCATTAGGGAGGGAGATGAATGGAAGACAGCATTTAGTACCACCTCGGGTCACTATGAGTATCTCGTCATGCCATACGGGTTAATGAATGCTCCTTCAGTCTTCCAATCCTTTGTGGACGAGATCTTCCGGGATTTGCATGGGCAGGGTGTAGTGGTGTATATTGACGACATTCTAGTTTACTCTTCTACACGAGCCGAGCATGTAGCCCTGGTGCGTCGAGTGTTGGGTAGGCTGTTGGAGCATGACTTGTATGTCAAGGCAGAAAAAAGTCTGTTTTACCAGGAGTCCATCTCCTTCCTGGGCCATCGGTTGTCCGCGTCAGGGGTGGAGATGGAGATTGACCGCGTTTCAGCCGTGCGTAATTGGCAGGCTCCAACCACGGTTAAGGAGGTGCAGCGGTTTTTGGGTTTTGCCAATTACTACCGGAGGTTTATCCGGGGTTTTGGACAGGTAGCAGCTCCCATCACCTCCCTGCTGAAGGGGGGCCGGTGCGTTTGCAGTGGTCGGCTGAGGCGGACAGGGCGTTTGGACAACTGAAGGACCTGTTCACCTCGGTTCCGGTGCTGGCGCATCCGGACCCCGCTTTAGCGTTCCAGGTGGAGGTGGACGCATCAGAGGCCGGTATTGGGGCTGTACTGTCTCAACGCTCAGGCACGCCTCCTAAACTCCGGCCCTGCGCTTTTTACTCGAAGAAGCTCAGCCCTGCGGAACGTAATTATGACGTGGGGGACAGGGAGCTGCTAGCTGTGGATCAAGCCCGAAAGGTGTGGAGGCATTGGCTTGAGGGGGCTCAACACCCTTTTCTCATTCTGACTGACCATCGTAACCTGGAGTACATCCGGGCAGCTAGGAGACTGAACCCTCGTCAGGCTAGGTGGGCCATGTTTCTGGCCCGGTTTGTTTTTAAGGTCACTTACATCCCAGGGTCCCAGAACGTTAAGGCAGACGCCCTGTCCCAGCGATATGACACAGAGGAGAGGTCCATTGAGCCCACTCCCATACTGCCAGAGTCTTGTCTGGTGGCACCGGTGGTGTGGGAGGTCGATGCGGAAATCGAGCGGGCGTTACGTACCGACCCTACTCCTCCAGAGTGTCCAGCGGGGCGGACGTACGTTCCGCTCGAGATTCGTGATCGTCTCATTTATTGGGCTCATACGTCACCCTCCTCTGGACATCCTGGTATTGGCCGGACAGTGCACTGCCTTAGTGAAAAGTACTGGTGGCCAACATTGGCTAAGGACGTGAGGGTTTATGTCTCCTCCTGCTCGGTGTGCGCTCAGTGTAAGGCGCCTTGACACCTGCCCAGGGGGAAGTTACAACCCCTACCCGTTCCACAACGGCCGTGGTCTCACCTATCGGTAGACTTTGTCACGGACTTTCCCCCTTCCCAGGGGAATACCACTATTCTGGTCGTTGTGGATCGGTTCTCTAAGGCCTGTCGCCTCATCCCAATGCCGGGTCTCCCTACTGCCCTACAGACTGCTGAGGCTTTGTTTACCCACGTCTTCCGGCACTACGGGGTACCCGAGGATATAGTGTCTGATCGGGGTCCCCAATTCACCTCTAGAGTCTGGAGGGTGTTCATGGAATGCTTGGGGGTCTCGGTTAGCCTTACCTCGGGTTTCCACCCTGAGAGTAATGGGCAGGTGGAGAGGGTGAACCAGGATGTGGGTAGGTTTCTGAGATCTTATTGCCAGGACCGGCAGGAGGAGTGGTCGGGGTATATCCCCTGGGCAGAGATCGCCCAGAACTCCCTTCGCCATTCCTCTACGAATCTGACTCCTTTCCAGTGTGTGTTGGGGTATCAGCTGGTTCTGGCACCATGGCATCAGAGCCAGATCGAGGCTCCAGCGGTGGATGAGTGGTTTCGGCGCTCGGAGGAGACATGGAACGCTGCGCATGTACATCTGCAGCGGGCTATCCGTAGGCAGAAGGCGAGCGCCGATCTCCACCGCAGTGAGGGTCCTGTGTACGCACCTGGAGATCGAGTCTGGCTCTCGACTCGAAACCTGCCCCTTCGCCTGCCCTGCCGGAAGCTGGGTCGGCGGTTTGTGGGGCCATTTAAAGTCCTGAGGAGATTGAACGAGGTATGTTACAGGTTACAACTGCCTAATGATTATCACATTAACCCCTCGTTCCATGTGTCTCTCCTCAGGCCGGTGGTAGCTGGTCCACTCCAGGACAATGAGATACGGGAGACTCCTCCGCCCCCACTGGACATCGAGGGGGTCCATCGTGGATTCGAGACGTCGGATGGGGGGTCTGCAGTATCTCGTGGAGTGGGAGGGGTACGGTCCGGAGGAACGGTGCTGGGTGCCTAGGAGGGACATTTTAGATCCCTCCCTCCTGACGGAGTTCCACCGGAGTCATCCCACGCGCCCTCCTGGCCGTCCCCGAGGCCGGGGTCGGCACACGGCTGGAGCCGCGCGTCAAGGGGGGGGTACTGTCACGGATGCCGCCGAGGCTGCTCCTTCTCCTTGCTCGGGCAGGCTTCGGCGTTCGTCGTTCCCGGAGTACTAGCTACTGCCGCTCGATATTTCGATGTTTGTCTTGTATTGTCTAGTTGGTACACCTGTTTCGTATTCTGTATTGATTATGTACCATATAAGTTCCCTTGTTTTATGTTTGCCTTTGTGTGTTATTGTCCGCGTCTCTTGTATGTATGTTCGGCATTGACCATCTTGTTTATTACGCACTCCGCGTACATTGCTCCTCTTGTGTTTGGAGGCTTTTGTTTTGTGCGTATTTTACTTTGGAAAGTAAAGTAGTCGTTACTGATCCTCTGTGTCCTGCGCCTGACTTCACCGCCGCATACACCTCAGCATTGACACCCACGGTGTTAAATTTAACACTTTCTTAGTGTGTGAATGTGACCCACCGAAATAGTGTTAAACTAACACTTTTCAAAGTGTTCACAAACTAACACCCTCAGAGTGTTGGGTCCATAACACCGTGGGTGTTGCAAATTCCGACTTAAATTAACACTTAGTAGTTTTACAGTAATTCATGGAGTGTTGTTTTAGCATTGTAGGGTGTAGAGCGTTATTTGCATATTTCCCAGCATGCATTTCAAGTGAATGTTAGTGATACCTACCCATGACTGTGTTTGTTAGTAACAGAGACATGGTTTCTACAGTCAATAACTTCCAGTCCTGAAACCTTCACCAAGTGACTGCCTGAGTGAAAATTCTTTACATTTACATCATTTAGCAGACGCTCTTATCCAGAGCGACTTACAAATTGGTGCATTCAATTTATGATAGCCAGTGGGACAACCACTTTTTTTTATGGGGGGTGGGGGAAGAAGGATTACTTTATACTATTCCAGGTATTCCTTAAAGAGGTAGGGTTTCAAGTGTCTCCGGAAGGTGGTCAGTGACTCCACTGTCCTGGCGTCGTGGGGGAGCTTGTTCCACCATTGGGGTGCCAGAGCAGCGAATAGCTTTGACTGGGCTGAGCGGGAACTGTGCTTACGTAGAGGTAGGGGAGCTAGCAGGCCAGAGGTGGATGAACGTAGTGCCCTCGTTTGGGTATAGGGTCTGATCACAGCCTGAAGGTAAGGAGGTGCCGTTCCCCTCACAGCTCCGTAGGCAAGTACCATTGTCTTGTAGTAGATGCGAGCCTCAACTGGAAGCCAGTGGAGTGTGCGGAGGAGCGGGGTGACATGAGAGAACTTGGGAAGGTTGAACACCAGACGGGCTGCAGCGTTCTGGATAAGTTGTAGGGGTTTAATGGCACAGGCAGGGAGCCCAGCCAACAGCGAGATGCAGTAATCCAGACGGGAGATGACAAGTGCCTGGATTAGGACCTGTGCCGCTTTCTGTGTAAGGTAGGGTCGTACTCTGCGAATGTTGTAGAGCATGAACCTGCAGAATCGGGTCACTGCTTTGATGTTAGCGGAGAACGACAGGGTGTTGTCCAGGGTCACGCCAAGGTTCTTTGCACTCTGGGAGGAGGACACAATGGAGTTGTCAACCGTGGTGGCGAGATCATGGAGCGGGCAGTCCTTCCCCGGGAGGAAGAGCAGCTCCGTCTTGCCGAGGTTCAGCTTGAGGTGGTGATCCGACATCCACACTGATATGTCTGCCAGACATGCAGAGATGCGATTCGCCACCTGGTTATCAGAAGGGGGAAAGGAGAAAATTAATTGTGGGTCGTCTGCGTAGCAATGCTAGGAGAAACCATGTGAGGATATGACAGAGCCAAGTGACTTGGTGTATAGAGAGAATAGGAGAGGGCCTAGAACTGAGCCCTGGGGGACACCAGTGGTGAGAGCATGTGGTGCGGAGACAGATTCTCGCCACGCCACCTAGTAGGAGCGACCTGTCAGGTAGGACGCAATCCAAGAGTGAGCAGCGCTGGAGATGCCCAACTCGGAGAGGGTGGAGAGGAGGATCTGATGGGTCACAGTATCAAAGGCAGCGGATAGGTCTAGGAGGATAAGAGCAGAGGAGAGAGAGTTAGCTTTACCAGTGCGGAGAGCCTCCGTGACACAGAGAAGAGCAGTCTCAGTTGAATGACCAGTCTTGAAACCTGACTGGTTTGGATCAAGAAGGTCATTCTGAGAGAGATAGCAGGAGAGTTGGCTAGAGACGGCACGCTCAAGAGTTTTGGAGAGAAAAGAAAGAAGGGATACTGGTCTGTAGTTGTTGACATCGGAGGGATCGAGTGTAGGTTTTTTGAGGAGGGGTGCAACTCTCGCTCTCTTGAAGACGGAAGGGACATGTCCAGCGGTCAAGGATTAGTTGATTAGCGAGGTGAGGTAAGGGAGAAGGTCTCCGGAAATGGTCTGGAGAAGAGAGGAGGGGATAGGGTCAAGCGGGCAGGTTGTTGGGCGGCCGGCCGTCGCAAGATTTCATCTAGAGAGAGAGGGGAGAAAGAAGTCAAAGCATAGGGTAGGGCAGTGTGAGCAGGACCAGCGGTGTCATTTGACTTAATAAATGAGGATCGGATGTCGTCAACCTTCTTTTCAAAATGGTTGACGAAGTCATCCACAGAGAGGGAGGGGGGAGGAGGAGAAGGATTCAGCAGGGAGGAGAAGGTGGCAAAGAGCTTCCTAGGGTTAGAGGCAGAGGCTTGAAATTTAGAGTGGTAGAAAGTGGCTTTAGCAGCGGAAACAGAGGAAGAGAATGTAGAGAGGAGGGAGTGAAAACACTTTAATTAACAGTGAACTATTTATGTAGATATATTACACATTTCATAAGGCTAGTTATGGCCTAGTTTTCCCCAACATTGTGGTCTGGTGATCCTGGCTCATGGGCCATATCAAATCTGCAAGTCACAATATGCTGGCTTGTGAAGTGATTTGTAATTCCTATTTTAATCCAGCCAGAGGGAGGATATTCAACAATTGGAACTTTTTATCACCCACAACCAGCATTCAGAATGACTGCTATGGTAAAGTACTAGCTAATGAAGACTACCTAAACCATCTAAACTGGAACAACCATCTCAGTAATGGATGCAATACATCTAACCACTTACAGATTGGATTAGTTTCGATTTTAAAAAAGTTATTTATCTCTGTGTAGTACTATTCTAAAAATCAACCTGCAACAAAGCATGCTGGGAAATGTGTTGAGGCCCCTCCCTCCCACATCTTTTTCACTCAGTTAACGGAAATTAACTCAACACAGTCGAGTACACTTGATTTATTCACCGCAGGTGCAGTCAATTTCAATCCCACTGGTGTTAACTCTACTAGAATAACACTCAGATATAACACTCACAACACTTTTACCTCCACACTGTGATTTTAACACATGCAAATTTTAACTCCGAGAGAGACCTCTGGAAAATTACTGTAGTTAGTGTGAGAGCAGAGATCGTCACAGAAAAAGAAACAGTGAGTTCATCCACGTTCCTCGCAAAACCATGAGCAGCCATGAGCTCAGATGCAGAGGCTGTGCCAGCTTTTATCCCTTCCTCCAGAAGAACTAGGGCCGGGATGATACCAGTATCACAATATTTTTTTCCCATGGCAAAAATGAAAACACAAAGCAGACCACACTATTTGGTCCTTTCAAAAACCTGCTGCAGATAAAATATTGTGTGCTATAGCTTGGAAAACAAAATACATTTGACTCTGGATGACAACATAATGTTTGTTTCCGACATTAGGGCTGTTTTCCTAAAGGTCAATCTGCTTTGCGTTTTGTTTGCTTTCCACGATACTAACGAGTATCCTGACCCTAGAAGGAATGAGTGACAGTAAAAAACTGCAGGGAGGAATGTTGAAACTTGTCGAAGGTATTTCAACAGGGCGGAACGTTGAGGGCATGCCAGTACTCTGCCAGGCAGGCCCCGAACGAGGAAAAGGGAAACATTTTAGAGGAACTGTTGTCTATCTCCAGAGGTCTATAATTTTTATGGCTAACTTGTGTTGAACCCAAACAATAACAGCTCCTTTCCTGTGGAACTTTTTTGCCTGTTTTCTGACCTGTAGTTCAGTTTACACCCACTAATAAAGTCGTCAATTAGTCTGTGTTTCAAGTCAAAGTTTCATCTAACCTTTATTCATCCAGGTTTCATTTAGGTCAAATATATTTAGCAAGGGAGACCTAATTGAACCTGGATGAATGATATGAGGTACCGGAACAAAAAGCAAAGCCCGAGAGGGAGGGGAGGGGTGACCTGGGGGGCTCTGAGGTACTGGAACGGGTGAAAATAAATCATCTTTATAGCAAAGCATTGCATGCATTATCATCGCTTTTGCATACTGGCATAGAGCAGTAGAGTAGAGGCGCTTGCAGAAGTTGCACACATGGGGGGGAAAAGTTTGTAGCCTAGGGTCTGGGAAAATGTTGGCCTTGTATAATTGCATGAAATGTGTTTATAAATCATTTTAGATGACAGAAGACCTTTGCAGATAATTTTTTTTAATACCTCATAAATTATTGAAATGACAGCCTACTTTGACACTGAGAATCTGAGATCAATAAAAATGGCCTTGTCTGGAATCCATCAATAGCCTAGGTGTGTGGAGACACACATATAGTACAATATGAGGAGGAAATTATAGTCCTAAAAAAAGCTTTCCAGTTTCACTAACTCGCCCAATGATGCGCAGCTCACTTACTGGTGATGGCTGATGCCCTTGTGTCAAAAGCCTCTCTCTCTTGTTTTACTTTGTAAAACAATGCTGTTTGCTCAGTAGGCCTATTTAGAAGTTAATAACATACTGTATTTGGTAGCCTACAGGCAGATTAGTCTTCTCTTTTCAGCAGGAGCCATTTGCTTTCCAATCTGTGGTTTCCCGCGATTGTATTTGAAATATTGCGCAAGGCCTGTTTTGGCTGCATGCTGTTTGTCCACTGACAGATTTGCCACGCATTCCCGACTATAGGCATGCCTTGTGATTGGGCTACACACAATCCACAGCTAGGCTATTTTTTAAAATAAGCTATTGATCCTCTGTGGCTTAATTATAGGGGTACTCCTGGTGTAGTCTTCTGAATTATTTAATTTCTTTCTGAACAGACAGCAGTCATTCTATGTCTTTGGCAAATGTATTTCAATTTATCAGGGGTGCTGCGGCACCTCCAGCACCCTTCCTGTGGACAGGAAGATTTGCGGCATCTGCGCCATACCCCAGGATATTATGCTGGGGCCGGGAGAGCAGGTGTATGTTTTTGTTTTTTCAGGGGTTATTTCACCTTTATTTAACCAGATAAGCCAGTTGAGAACAAGTTCTCATTTACAACTGCGACCTGGCCAAGATAAAGCAAAGCAGTGCGGTAAAAACAACAACAACACAGTTGGGGGGGCATGGGCAAGTTGCAGCGGAGGGTGCAGAGCTGGTGGCCGGGGTAGGGGTAGCCAGGTGGAAAGCATGGCCAGCCGTAGCAAAATGCTTATTGAAATTCTCGATTATCGTAGGTTTATCGGTGGTGACACTGTTTCCTAGCCTCAGTGCAGTGGGTAGCTGGGAGGAGGTGCTCTTATTCTCTTATGGACTTTACAGTGTCCCAAAACTTTTTGGAGTTAGTGCTACAGGATGCACATTTCTGTTTGAAAAAGCTAGCCTTTGCTTTCCTAACTGATTGTATATTGGTTCCTGACTTCCCTGAAAAGTTGCATATCGCGGGGGCTGTTCGATGCTAATGCAGTACGCCACAGGATGTTTTTGTGCTGGTCAAGGGCAGTCAAGTCTGGGGTGAACCAGGGGCTATATCTGTTCTTAGTTCTGAATTTTTTGAATGGGGCATGCTTATTTAAGATGGAGAGGAAAGCACTTTTGAAGAACATCCAGGCATCCTCTACTGACGGAATGAGGTCAATATCCATCCAGGATACCCAGGCCAGGTCAATTAGAAAGGCCTGCTCGCTGAAGTGTTTTAGGGAGCGTTTGACAGTGATGAGGGGTGGTCGTTTGACCGTGGACCCATTACGGATGCAGGCAATGAGGCAGTGATCGCTGAGATCCTGGTTGAAGACAACGGAGGTGTATTTAGAGGGTAAATTAGTCAGGATGAGATCTATGAGGGTGCCCATGTTTACGGATTTAGGGTTGTACCTGGTAGGTTCCTTGATAATTTGTGTGCGATTGAGGGCATCTAGTTTGGATTGTAGGATGGCTAGGGTGTTAAGCATATCCCAGTTTAGGTCACCAAGCAGTACGAACTCTGAGGATAGATGGGGGGCAAGCAATTCACATATGGTGTCCAAGTCAACAAATGATAGCGCCTGGGGAGTAGGAGTGATACTGGGGGCTACAGGGCCTGGGTTAACCTCTACATCACCAGAGGAACAGCGGAGGAATAGTATAAGGATACGGCTAAAGGCTTTAAGAACTGGTCTTCTAGTGCGTTGGGTACAGAGAATAAAAGGGGCAGATTTCCGGGCGTTGTAGAATAGATTCAGGGCATTATGTACAGACAAGGATATGGAAGGATATGAGTACAGTGGAGGTAAGCCTAAGCGTTGTGTAACAATGAAAGAGAGCATCACTGGAGGTACCGATTGAGCCGGTCTCCGCATGTATGGGGGGTGGGACAAAGGACCTCTCTGAGGCTGGTTGAGCGGGACTGGGGGCTCTACAGTGAAATAGTACAATAACAACTAACCAAAACCGCAATAGGCTAGGCATATTGACATGGGAGAGAGGCATAACGCAATCACAGGTGTTATTCGAGAGTGCTAAGACAACAACTGGTAATGGAGATGAAAGTTTGGCCTGAGGCTAAACAGATAAACAGGATAGGGTACTGTGTAAAGGAACAGTCCAGCAGGCATCAGCTATGTAGCTGAGTGATCATAAGGTCCAGTGAACAACAATAGGTAAGTCTGGGAGCAGTTCGTAGGCTGCTACAGCACAGGCGAGCAGGAGGCACGGCTGTTGATTGCACGTGCTAGCGGGCCGTGGCTAGCAGATGGATCTTCGTGGTCGTCGCAACGGGAAGCCTGTTGAAACCACATCAGACGATTACGTCGGCAGACCAGTCGTGATGGATCGGCGGGGCTCCGTGTCGACACTAGGAGGTCCCGTCCGGTTGACAGAGAGGTAGATGGCCGAGAGATGGGCCTGGCTCGAGGCTAGCTCAAGGCTAACTGGTGCGTCGAGACAGCCAACAACAGCCATTCGGTTGCAGCTAGCTAGTTGCGATGATCCGGTGTTAAGGTCCAGTGATTCCAGCAGAAAATCCGATATGCTCTGGGTCGATAGCATGCTGTGCAGACTGGCCGATAATTGTCCAGGCTAGGGCTGGCTGGTAGGTAGTGCAAGCCACGGACAGTGGTGAAGACCGCTAACGGTGGCTAATAGCAAATAGCTAGTTAGCTGGCTAGTTTCAGCCGTAGGTTCTTGATAAAAATAAAGAAATAATAGAATTCGTTCCACATTGGGTGAGGCGGGTTTCAGGAAAGTGTATTTAGTTTAAGGATGGAAAGTGAGATAGAGAAATATATACGAAAAAAGACAAAAAAACAGGCTATTTCCACGAGGACACAACAGGATACACGACCGCACTGCAACGCCATCTTGTGTGTGTGGTGTTACTGAGTTCACAAGAGTAGTCTTTCATTGTATGTTTGGGATTTACACGTTTTTACAGCTGATCTCATCCCACCCCTCCCATGGGGTGGTCATTCTCTAATCCCAGGTGGAAACAGTGCCTGTAAATCCCTGTGTTACAATGTCTTAGCATAGACTTGCAATGGTTAATTAAGTCAAACTACAAATATGGGACATTGACTGAAAAACCGTCTGTCAGCCACAAAGTCATTTTTTAAACTACTTATGTGACTGATTAGGAAAACACAAGTCATCAGAGAATTTAACATGGACATACTCAAGATAATACATCTTGGTGACTCATGAGGGCTGTGACTTTGCCAGGTCTTGTCAGGTTTTGATGGCTGAAAGCCATGCTCAGTTTCTAGAGAAAACACATACGATTCCCCAGCCTGCATGGGTATGAATCCCCTTTCATACCTGTCTCTTGGCTGTTCGCACTCCACTGTAAAATGTTGACTCATTGTGATGTCTTTCCCTGTCCAGTTGTTTGACCACATTGCGGCCTGCCTGGCTGAGTTCCCGGAGTTTCTGGAGCTTAAGGATCAGACTCTACCTCTGAGCTTTACCTTCTCCTTCGAGCAGAAAGACATCGACAAGGTTCATCACAGTCAGCGAACACACACAAACACACGCACAGGCACACACACATGAATACACAAAGGATCCATTCATGCAGCCAGGACTGATATTAGTAGAAAATACCAAGCCCAGGTTACTTCCCAATATTGGACTAATTCAGAGTTATGACGTTGGAACACTTAATTGTCTTTGCAGTTGTTTGGACAGTCTATTTGACAACTTTGTCAGGAAAAAGTCAAGGGCTAATAGTAAGTGATGGTCAAATCTCAGTCATTGTCTGTGACCTCGACTTCCAGAGTATCCTGTTCCGTTGGACCAAAGGCTTTCTTTAACTGTTCAGGAGTGGAGGGAGTGGAGGGAGAGGATGTGGTCAGGTTACTGAGAAAAGCCATCCACAGGAGAGGGGTGAGTCTATAGGCCTCCTCGTACCATCCAACTACCACCACTTTCTAATAAACAGTTATTTTGATTGGATATGTATTTGGAATGTTATTACTACAGTAGTAGAGCCTATAAATAATGTTGTTATACCAGTAGGAATGTGCCTTATAAAAAGGCTGTTCACAGACAGGTAACAGTAAACGTTGCTTGAAGTGGTACCCTCAAACTCCCCTTCCACTCTCTCTCCCCTCTTAGTCCCCTTGGACTATGATGTTGGTTCAGTTGCCATGGTGAATGACACTGTGGGGACCATGATGAGCTGTGGATACAGGGACCAGAGCTGTGAGATTGGCATGATCATTGGTAGGTAGTACTTATCTATACTGCAGCCACACTACTGCAACCATAGCATTAGAGGAAAGAACAAAAATAAAGGCATAAGAAAAGATGCCCCATTTAGCCTAGCAAGTGAAGGAGAGGGTCTGTAGTAACCATATATAACAGTCATATTATCATGTTATTACAAATTGCTTGCCACAATATGTTAGGGAAGTCAAGGATAACCATGGAGAGTCCTATCTTGAAACTCCATGTAGTTTAGTGCCATTTCTAGCACTTCCACACTGCAATGACTCCCTCTGCTGGAGATGATGGCAACAGGGTTTTGTATGTGTTTTTTTGTGTGTGTGCAATATGTTGCATTCATTTCTGTGTAAGATTCTCTGCCTCCCCAGGGACGGGGACGAACGCATGTTACATGGATGAGATAAAGAACGTGAAGAGAGTGGGCGGGGAGGACATACGCATGTGCAGGTAGCCTGGCAGGTAGGAGCTTTGGGTCAGTAACCGAAAGGTAAGTGACAAGGTAAAAATCTGTCGTTCTGCCCTTGAGCAAGGCAGGTAACCCCCAACAACAACTGCTCCCCGGGTGCCAATGACGTGGATGTCGATTAAGGTAGCCCCCCACACCTCTATGATTCAGAGGGTTAAATGTGGAAGACACATTTCAGTTGAATGCATTCAGTTGTACAACTGACAAGGTATCCCCTTTCCTTTTCCCTTTCCAACACAAAGTGGGGGGGTTTGTAGACGATGGGTCCATAAATGATATCCAGACTGAGTTTGACCTGGTGGTGGTGGATCGAGATTTACTCAACCCAGGCGTGCATGCGTATGTGTTTCCCCTCCAAATGAATGAGCAGTCAAAAGTACGTAGCTAAAGTACATTAAAATACATGAAAGCTATGACTGTAACTTCTATGCTTGACTTTCATTTTCATTTGTCGAATACAGGCCAAACCTCATTCACCCTGGTCAATTTATCTGTGTACTTAACTCTGTTGTTTTGTGACTTTGTCCATGTCTGTCTGTGTCCAGGTTTGAGAAGATGATCAGTGGGATGTATCTGAGAGAGGTAGCCAGGCTGGTTGTGGTGAAGTTGGCTCAGGACAAGCAACTGTTTGGAGGAGAGCTCTGAGGCCTTGCTCACCCAGGACAGCTTTGAGATCAGATTCATCTCTGAGATAGAGGAGTAAGTGACTGACACACCATGCTCTTATGTGTCATATCTCTACTTACACAGATCCTAAATATAGCAGTTTTTTTATTATCAATGTGCTATATAATACAGAAGCTACCACTGGGTGAGATTGAGAGAAATGAGCACAACTGTCTTTACAACTATATATTATATAATTTACTATAAATGGAAGGGCTGGGAATTGCCAGGGACCTCACGATACGATATTATCATGATACTTAGATGCCGATACGATATGTATTGCGATTCGATACTGGGATTTAATTGCGATTTGACGTTCCAAACATATTGCTCACCATATGTCTGCTGCAAAGGGACAACAGAGAGCCATGAGAAAACAAGTTTTGATCAGTCATGGAAATATTGTAAGTGCTGAAAACAAATTGGCTCCCTTATTAAAAAGAAGCTGGAGAACAAGTTATGGAAAAATACTGGAGTTTTGGTGCAGGTACAGCCAACTAGCGCAAAAATTATATTGCGATATTGTCGATATAATATATCGTAGAAATTAAGATCCTGATATGTAACTCTATTTTCTTCCCCCATCACTAATAAATAGGCATATCTCAGTCATTTTAATCCTTTACAACCTAGATTTTTGAAATCGAATTACATCACTTGTATCAGCTTGCATTTGTACCAAAGTACACTGCTCAAAAAAATTAAGGGAACACTTAAACAACACAATGTAACTCCAAGTCAATCACACTTCTGTGAAAGACTCATGGGCAGCGCACAATTGGCCTAGCGTTGTCCAGGGTAGGGGAGGGAATGGCCGGCAGGGATGTAGCTCAGTTGATAGAGCATGGCGTTTGCAATGCCAGGGTTGTGGGTTCGATTCCCATGGGGAACCAGTATGAAAAAAAAAAAAAAAAAATGTATTCACGAACTGTAAGTCGCTCTGGATAAGAGCGTCTGCTAAATGACTAAAATGTAAATGTAAATCAAACTGTCCACTTAGGAAGCAACACTGATTGACAATAAATGTCACATGCTGTTGTGCAAATGGAATAGACAACAGGTGGAAATTATAGGCAATTAGCAAGACCCCCAATAAAGGACTGGTTTTGCAGGTGGTGACCACAGACCACTTCTCAGTTCCTATGCTTCCTGGCTGATGTTTTGGTCACTTTTGAATGCTGGCGGTGCTTTCACTCTAGTGGTAGCATGAGACGGAGTCTACAACCCACACAAGTGGCTCAGGTAGTGCAGCTCATCCAGGATGGCACATCAATGCGAGCTGTGGCAAGAAGGTTTGCTGTGTCTGTCAGCGTAGTGTCCAGAGCATGGAGGCGCTACCAGGAGACAGGCCAGTACATCAGGAGACGTGGAGGAGGCCGTAGGAGGGCAACAACCCAGCAGCAGGACTGCTACCTCCGCCTTTGTGCAAGGAGGAGCAGGAGGAGCACTGCCAGAGCCCTGCAAAATAACCTCCAGCAGGCCACAAATGTGCATGTGTCTGCTCAAAAGGCCAGAAACAGACTCCATGAGGGTGGTATGAGGGCCCGACGTCCACATGTGGGGGTTGTGCTTACAGCCCAACACCGTGCAGGACGTTTGGCATTTGCCAGAGAACACCAAGATTGGCAAATTCGCCACTGGCGCCCTGTGCTCTTCACAGATGAAAGCAGGTTCACACTGAGCACATGTGACAGACGTGACAGAGTCTGGAGACGCAGTGGAGAACGTTCTGCTGCCTGCAACATCCTCCAGCATGACCGGTTTGGCGGTGGGTCAGTCATGGTGTGGGGTGGCATTTCTTTGGGGGGCCGCACAGCCCTCCATGTGCTCGCCAGAGGTAGCCTGACTGCCATTAGGTACCGAGATGAGATCCTCAGACCCCTTGTGAGACCATATGCTGGTGCGGTTGGCCCTGGGTTCCTCCTAATGCAAGACAATGCTAGACCTCATGTGGCTGTAGTGTGTCAGCAGTTCCTGCAAGAGGAAGGCATTGATTCTATGGACCGCCCGTTCCCCAGACCTGAATCCAATTGAGCACATCTGGGACATCATGTCTCGCTCCATCCACCAACGCCACGTTGCACCACAGACTGTCCAGGAGTTGGCGGATGCTTTAGTCCAGGTCTGGGAGGAGATCCCTCAGGAGACCATCCGCCACCTCATCAGGAGCATGCCCAGGCGTTGTAGGGAGGTCATACAGGCACATGGAGGCCACACACACTACTGAGCCTCATTTTGACTTGTTTTAAGGACATTACATCAAAGTTGGATCAGCCTGTAGTGTGGTTTTCCACTTTAATTTTGAGGGTGACTCCAAATCCAGACCTCCATGGGTTGATAAATTTGATTTCCATTTATAATTTTTGTGTGATTTTGTTGTCAGCACATTCAACTATGTAAAGAAAAAAGTATTTAATAAGATTATTTCATTCATTCAGATCTAGGATGTGTTATTTTAGTGTTCCCTTTATTTTTTTGAGCAGTGTATATTGATGCAGAGGGAAGATAGGACTGCAGAAGGCCCAGGAGATTCTGTCAGAGCTGGACCTGCCTGCCGGACCTGTTGACTGTCAAATTGTCGCACACCAGACGCACACTCTGTCCACACGCTCAGCCCAGTTGTGCACCGCTGCCTTGGCAAGTATTGCCAACCGTATTCGTGTCAACCAAAGACTGGACCATCTAAGCACCACAGTGGGGGTGGACGGCACAGTCTACAAGAAACACCCCAAGTATGTTCCCCTCAGATATACATTTTCTGAAATGGTCAACAGGGTTATTTCAGTTTAAGTGGAAAGATACAGATAAATCCCGCTTTTTATATTCTTGTCACTTGATTGAATGGAGAATATCCTCTTGTGCTGCCATAATAACTGTGGATTTCCTGCCTTTGTTTCGTCACAGTATTCACCCCTCTCTCAACCTTATCCCTGCCTTTCCATTCTCTTTGTCTAAATGCAGGAATTTCACATGATGGAATATTATTTCTTAGAATAGTTATTTTACAATTGTGTAGAGAGATTGTATCTCTCTTATTCACTCCTTTGCACTGTCAGGAGGACCTATGTCAGTATCAGGTGTGCAGGTAGCCATACTTTGATTTGACTATCCCCCTGTCTCTCTTCCCTCCGCTCTTCTTCCCTCCGCTCTTCTCCCCTCCAGCTTCAGTAAGCAGCTCCAGGAGACCGTAAGAATCCTGGCCCCCAAGTGTGACATCACTTTCCTGGTCTCCGAGGACGGCAGCGGAAAAGGGCACTGCCATGGTAACAGCGGTGGCACAGAGGCTGGACATGTAGTCCCGACTGCTAGAGGACAGGAGAGAAGGATGAGGAAGATGAAAATTAATGTATGTGTTAGGCTAGAGGAGGCACACTGGAAAGACTACTTGAAATGCAGCACCATGAAAATGTCCCCCTCAAAAGCTTTTGTTATAGACAAAGCTTGTATGGTACATGCTAAACACCTCTCACTTTCTCCTAGGCTATAATATTTAAATGTTTTTTGTATTACATGGTTAACTTTCAGTGACGAAATTCTCTTATTTCAAAAACTTCTGTATGTGAAATTGTATTTTGTTATCTATAAGAAATGTAGACAAATTATTTTATACTAGAATGAAAACTTTGAATGGGTAATATCTCACTGTATTTCCAGTATATTTAGGGACCTGATATGTGATACTGTAACATTATTGCAGCCATATTTGAATGGCAGCTTGGTCATACAATTACTGTCTTGAAGTAAAAATCTATGAATTTCATGGTCAAGTCAAGTTCAACATAATGGAAAGAGACACATGCTCACTCCCACTGTTGGAGAAACGGTACAGAGGAACATCGGGTTATTAAATCAATGTTTTCAGCAAAATTATACAACTATAGAATATTCAGTCACGCTTAAACAGACGACACGTGTTCAGAAAGGTAGGTTGTTCAAAACTTGCGTTGCAAATGAAAGATGGCTAGCGTTTGATATTGATACAATGTTGCACTGTACGTTTCCCTTCACCCCCAGTAGGCTAGTAGTTATAATGTTGCACTTAAGCCATAACACCTATCACGTGCTTGTCTTTGATCACCATTTCCCACACTGTGGTATAGCGTAAAATACAAGTTACGATTACTTAAAATTATCACCACGCGTTTGTATCCATGCAGGTACCATGGTATACACCAGGATCTGGACCAATCAGCTCAACAATTGATATTAGGCAACAATGTAACTAAACTTCAACTTCATTGATGCAACGCCATCGTGAAAAATAAAATAAGGATATTTCTAAGCTTGTACAACAATGATTTCAGAATGGAAACATTTCCTGACATTCAAAATAGCCACTTTCATATTAACAATAAGTTATAGGCTACTCGCAAACAGTTTTAGCCACACCTAGATCCTGTCCTATTTTCAAAAAAAAAAGAGGACCCGTTTCTTGTGCATTTGTTTGTGTGCGGGTGAGGACCCGGCTGTGTAACTTGATAGGGGGCTCTGAGAGGGAATAAGGGAATGTGTTGCTGCAATGGAGCAGAATGTAATACAGGTAAAGCCGACACTCGCTTTATATTATTTATAAATAAATCGTGATATTTGTATGCGCACGCATGCCACTTTTACCTGTTGATATCGGGAATAAACCGACTGTATGTCGGTCTTATTTTGATATTTGGTTTGCCGGTTTTCAAGTCTGTAATTTTGTTTAGAATGTAGAATTGATTGTTCTCCTATCAAGTCTTTTGCAATTGCAACTTTTGCTGAATGAGTCACAACTTTCCAGTGGAGAAAATGGCTCGCTATGATATTTGAAAGCCCCAAATTTCGCTGACATGGTTAAACGATTTTATTTTCCAGCGTTTGCAATTTAATTCAACTTCAATATTTCTATATTGTCTTCCTGTTAATGATTAATTTCTTTGTGTCGTGTCGACTACCTACGTTTTCTACCCCCACCCCCACATTTCCACATTAAAGAAATTGTTATCTGACGATTCGACAATATTAAGATTGTTTTCCAACTAAATCAATTGTGTAACTTAACGATGTTTTGAGTAATTCGAAAACATATCTTACATTTGCAGTGACGTGATATTAAAGATTACAATATCATCGATGGAACAAGGTGGAGCAATTTATTTATCGAACAAATAGCCAACATATGGATAGAACAAAAAAACCGACGTTATGTCATGTGTACATTTTGTAAAACTCAAAATGGAATGAGGATTTTCGTGAGGAAATCGCTGTACTTTCAATTTGAAATTGAGGATTATCTTGATTGTATCATACCAGGCCCACAAAAAACGCACAGGGTGATTTTGTTTCGGTCGAATTGAAAGACTTCAATAACAATAAGCCTACATTCGTTTTTATATTTAATATCAGAAATATTAAAGTTATATATCATATTAATAATGGTATTTAAGTTGTAAGCCTATAAGCATGCGTAGTCTTCTCAACATTAATATGATATACATGTCCCTTGGATCCTCCTCTGTTCTTAAGATATCGAAGAATACTTTTGTAATGTTGTAATATTGTGTAAACAGTATTTTGTATATTATTATATAATATCCAAGGTCACAATGTTATTTTGCAGATAGAACACCTTTTCCTATTAGTTCCTCTCTTTCTGGAACCGCAGTGCCTATCTAAAGCCATCACGAGCATTGACGTAATCCTATCTGTAGGTTAGTGTTTCTATTTAAAAATCCACTCAAACAATTGAAAACGCAGTCTTTTTTATATTTTGTGGCTTTACTGTAGAATCAATCTTGCTTAATTTTCACCACTAGTTGGCCATGTGATCGTGTTATGTTCCTGCTACACTAGGTAGGGGACGGGGTTGCCCACAAGAGGGGGTGGGGTGAGGACGAGGGGTGCGAATTTGAGACATTTCCGCATTTAGTCAGCTGGGCTAGGCCCTATAATAGGCCTACAGGGGTGTTCATTTTAGAAGATCCTGAACATATATAATGGATCGACCTATTATATTTTTTAGATTAGGTCTTCAGAGTTTTTTTTATCTTTATATAAATTAAAATATTATTACAATACATTTCTTCATAGTTTTGGATGAATCACCCAAAAATGTTTTATTGCATAGATAAATTGTATCCTTTTGATTTTATACCCCATAAAAAAACTATAGAATATGCATGGAGGTCCATATCTATGAGTTGCCTACTAAGTAGATTAATACTTTGGAATGTGTTTTGGTGCATGGTAATGGTAGACTGGCATAATGCTAGAGTGACGAGCAGAGGGGCTTGTAATTTAGTGAAAATTGATGTCCTTTGTGGCCACTTGCAGTGAAGTCACTCACACATAGAGCCATAGATTGTGTAAACTATACTGAACAAAAATATAAACGCAACATGTAAAGTGTTGTTCCCATGAGCTGAAATAAAAGATCCCAGAAATGTTCCATACGCCCAAAAAGCTTATTTCTCTCAAATTCTGTGCACAAATTTGTTTACATCCCTGTTAGTGAGCAAGATAATCTATCCACCTGACAGATGTGGCATATCAAGAAGCTGACTAAACAGCAGGATCATTACACAGGTGCACTTTGTGCTGGGGACAATAAAAGGCCACTCTAAAATTGACAGTTTTGTCACAACACAATGCCACAGATGTCTCAAGTTTTGAGGGAGCGTGCAATTGGTATTCTGACTGCAGGAATGTCCACCAGAGCTGTTGCCAGAGAATTGAATGTTCATTTCTCTACCATAAGGCACCTCCAATGTCGTTTTAGAGAATTTGGCAGTACGTCCAACCAGCCTCACAACCGCAGACCAAGTCTAAACACACCAGCCCAGCACCTCCACATCCGGCTTTTAAACCTGCAGGATCGTCCGAGACCAGCCACCCTGACAGCTGCAGAAACTGAGCAGTATTTCTGTCAGTAATAAAGCCCTTTCGTGGGGGGAAATCTCATTCTGATTGGCTGGGCCTGGCTCCCAAGTGGGTGGGCCTATGCCCACCCATGACTACGTCCCTGCCCAGAAATCCATAGATTAGGGCCTAGTACATTTATTTCAATTGACTGATTTCCTCATATGAACTGTAACTCAGTGAAATTGTTGCATGTAGCGTTTATATTTTTGTTCAGTGCATTCGGAAAGTATTCAGACCCCTTGACTTTTTCCACATTTTGTTACGTTACAGCCTTATTCTAAAATGGATTAAAAATATACAAATCCTCATCAATCTACACACACAATACCCCATAATAACAAAGCAAAAACAGGTTTTTAGTCATTTTTAACACATTTATAAAAAATTAAAAACGGAAATATCACATTTACATAAGTATTCAGACCCTTTACTCAGTACTTTGTTGAAGCACCTTTGGCAGCGATTACAGCCTCGAGTCTTCTTGGGTATGACGCTACAAGCTTGGCACACCTGTATTTGGGGAGTTTCTCCCATTCTTCTTTGCAGAACCTCTCACGCTCTGTCAGGTTGGACAGGGAGTGTCGCTGCTCAGCTATTTTCAGATCTCTCCAGAGATGTTCGATCAGGTTCAAGTCCGGGCTCTGGCTGGACCACTCAAGGACATTCAGAGACTTGTCCCAAAGCCACTCCTGCGTTGTCTTGGCTGTGTGCTTAGGGTCGTTGTCCTGTTGGAAGGTGAACCTTCGCCCAGTCTGCGGTCCTGAGCGCTCTGAAGCAGGTTTTCATCAAGGATCTGTGCTTTCTCCGTTCATCTTTCCCTCGATCCTGACTAGTCTCCCAGTCCCAGCCACTGAAAAACATCCCCACAGCATGATGCTGCCACCACCATGCTTCACAGTAGGGATGGTGCCAGATTTCCTCCAGACATGATGCTTGGCATTCAGGCCAAAGAGTTCAATCTTGATTTTATCAGACCAGAGAATCTTGTTTCTCATTGTCTGAGAGTCCTTTAGGTGCCCTTTGACAAACTCCAAGCAGGCTGTAATGTGGCTTTTACTGAGGAGTGGCTTCCATCTGGTCACTCTACCATAAAGGCCTGATTGGTGGAGTGCTGCATAGATGGTTGTCCTTTTGGAAGGTTCTCCCATCTCCATAGAGGAACTCTGGAGCTCTATCAGAGTGACCATCAGGTTCTTGGTCACCTCCCTGACCAAGGCCCTTCTCCCCCAATTGCTCAGTTTAGGCTGGCGGCCAGCTCTAGGAAGAGTCTTGGTGGTTCCAAACTTCTTCCATTTAAGAATGATGGAGGCCACTGTGTTCTTGGGGACCTTCAATACTGCAGACATTTTTTGGTACCCTTCCTCAAATCTGTGCCTCGACACAATCCTGTCTCAGAGCTCTACGGACAATTCCTTCGACCTCATGGCTTGGTTTTTGCTCTGACATCCACTGTCAACTGTGGGACCTTATATAGACAGGTGTGTGCCTTTTCTAAATCATGTCCAATCAATTGAATTTACTACAGGTGGGCTCCAATCAAGTTGTAGAAACATCTCAAGGATGATCAATGGAAACAGGATGCACCTGAGCTCAATTTCGAGTCTCGTAGCAAAGGATCTGAATACTTATGTAAATAAGGTATTTTTTATTTGTTTTATTTTTTACATTAGCAAAAATTTCTAAAAACCCTGTTTTTGCTTTGTCATTATGGGGTATTGTGTGTAGATTAATGAGGATTTCTTTTTATTTAATCAATTTTAGAATAAGGCTGTAAAGTAACAAAATGTGGGAAGGGGTCTGAATACTTTCTGAATGCACTGTATGCATGAACTAATGTTGATAAAATGGGGAGTCATGCAGGCCTTTGCCAGGAACATTGGGTAGAATCTGGAAGTGTATGTTCATGGCTCAAATTGATAATTTGTGTCATGTGAAGGGGTGTCTGTGTGTAAGGAGTTGTTTGATAGTCAGATTGTACACATCGAAGGGATAAATAACATCTATGTTAAATTCAAACTTTAAGTTTGATGTTTGAATTTTTAAATTATGCTTTCCTTGTCTGTTAGACATTTGTGAGGGGCACGAGTTAGTTGTACTATTAGTTGAACTAATAAAAGTATGTATTTTCTGTTTAAATTAAGTTGATTTATATAGCAGATGTGAGTTGGGCTGTCCAAGACATAGTCACAGGATTATTGCTCCCAGTATAATTGCGGAAAATAAATGGTGACCGTACACATGGTTTTGCTGTTTGTTAAACTGAATTGTATTCATTTCATAGTACAATTTAGGAATTTAAATGGACATCAAAATGAAAATCTAATTGGGAACAAGGCTCCATTTACACATTTTATACTGAACAAAAATATGAACGCAACATGCAACAATTTCAAAGATTTTACTGAGTTACAGTTCAAATAAGGAAATCAGTCAATTGAAATAAATTCATTAGGCCCTAATCTGGATTTCACTTTACTGGGAATAAAGAAATGCATCTGTTGGTCACAGATACCTTTTAAAAATAAAAGTAGGGGCATGGTTTAGAAAATAGTTAGTATCTGGTGTGACCACCATTCCTTCCCATAGAGTTGATCAGGCTGTTGATTGTGGCCTGTGGAATGTTGTCCCAATCCTCTTCAATGGCTGTGCGAAGTTGCTGAATATTGGCGGGAACTGGAACCCGCTGTCGTACACGTCGATCCAGAGCATCCCAAATATGCTCAATGGGTGACATGTCTGAGTATGCAGGTCATGGAAGAACTGGGACATTTTCAGCTTCCAGGAATGTCCTTGCGACATGGGGCCGTGCATTATCATGCTGAAACATGAGGTGATGGCGGTGGATGAATGGCACGCAATGGGCCTCAGGATCTCGTTACGGTATCTCTGCATTCAAATTGCCATCGATAAAATGCAATGGTGTTCATTGTCCGTAGCTTATGCCTGCCCATACCATAACCCCACCGCCCCCATGGGGCACTCTGTACACAACATGGTCATCAGCGGTTGTGAGGCCGGTTGGACATACTGCCAAATTCTCTAAAACGGCGTTGGAAGCGGCTTATGATGGAGAAATTAACATTAAATTATCTGGGAACAACTCTGGTGGACATTCCTGCAGTCAGCATGCCAATTGCACCCTCCCTCAACTTGAGACATCTGTGACATTGTGTTGTGTGACAAAGCTGCACATTTTAGAGTGGCCTTTTATTGTCCCCAGCACAAGGTGCACCTGTGTAATGATCATGCTGTTTAATCAGCTTCTTGATATGCCACCCCTGTCCGGTGGATGGATTATCTTGGCAAAGCAGAAATGCTCACTAACGGGGATGTAAAAAATGTGTGCACAAAATTTGAGAGAAATAAGCTTTTTGTGCGAATGAAACATTTCAGGGATCTTTTATTTCAGCTCATGAAACATTTTCAGCTCATGAAACTTTACATGTTGTGCTTATATTTTTGTTCATTGTACATTATGGTCCGAGGTCGATTCAAATCACATGCATAGTCAAATTGAACAGACGGGAATGATTAAATGGCTCTGATCGCTCTTTCTCTTTGTGAAAATTGCTCTCGCTCTCAGTGGTTAGGTGCACCCTCCTGTCTGCGTGGATCCTTTGCCTTCTATAAGTCAGTGAGCTGTGGGGCCTTGGCCGGGGTCCCTGCACTGGTCTGGAAATTGGGGGAGTTCTACTATGTCCGCTGTGGCCCCCAGGAACCTGTGTGCGTAGCTGAGGTACGACCCATAGCTCCATTAGTTAGCGCATGATACTTGCCATACCAGGGGTGTATTCAGGGTGGTGAAATGTGCAAAACGTTGCAGATGGATACATAATATTTGTTCTTCACTAAGGATTTCTACCTGATTTTGAACATTCTGTAACATTGCAACCTCCTAAACAAGGCCCAGAGTTTTGAGTTTCATTCCTTCTTGTGTCACATGTACTGATTACGTATTTATTGTAAGTCGCTCTGGATAAAAGCATCTGCTAAATAACTATGGATTTCTTATTTCAGGTGACTTTACTGTGGGAGGACCAGGCCCAGCACCATCTGCTGGCCAGCTCCACACTCTACTTCCTCCCTGAGGATACTCCCAAGGGCAGGACCAGAGAGCATGGAGAGGTGAGGGGGGTGGCCACTGAGCTCTATAATATAGACATAATTTGGGGGCAACCAAGGGGTGTGGGTCTGGTGTTTCCTCGCAAGGTTTCTTTTTTTGGTTCTGATAGATTCATTGAAAATATTGATTTTTGTAGGAAGAATCAATGTATATTGTTTTTCATCACTTAGGAGTTTTCAATCATTTTCATAACTGCTATACAATTCTGAAAACTATATGCATTTTCTAGTCTACATTACTGTAAACACTGAATGTGGGTGTCATTTTCTCTGTTCAACGTAGAAGTACTTAGAATCACACAAAATTACAGTCCATATCTGTCATTGCTAGACTAATATGTCATACACAGCAGAACTCATGAAAGGACATGCTGTACTGTGCAAGATCATTTCTTGCTTAGTACAAATTTGGCTTGGGTTGATGTAATAATGGATTGTGTGTGCCTGGCATTTAGTCTACTTTAACCACAAGTGTTTAACAATCTCAATTTCCAAATGGTTGACTGATAACTTTAAGCAGGAATCCTTAGATTGATGTCACTTCTCCCCTTATTCAAGTAAAAAATGTGTTATTAACTTGCACAAAAAATGTGTTATTAACTTGCATTTTCACGCAAGTCGGTTTTTAAAACCGTACGTTTTAATAGTGCACATGCACAAGTATGGCAAAGACTAGTTACATGAGATGTATTTATTTTCCCGGGGGTTGTTGCTGTATTGTAAATCATGAGTTGTTATGAATCCCAGATTTTCCTAAGTTGTCTCCTATTTCACTACAGTCCTGTGTTAATAACAAATGGGTCTGGGAGGAGTAGGAGGTCTCTGATGGCTCCTCATTTGCCACATGCTATTGGCACTCTGTCTTATATCATGTGAAGTATTTTCTTGATTCATCAAATGTTTGTTGGTGGCCCTTTCTTTTAGGGTATGCACCAATTTAGGGAGTGTGGCTTTTAAATGGTGATTGAAGGGTGTGTGTGTGTGTTCCTCAGGATGAGGTGTTGGCCGTCTCGAAGAAGATAGTGGTGCGGGTGGAGGATCTGGTGAGGTGGACCTGTTCTGAACCTACAGGGTGGAAAGGAGGAAGCCAGAAGTCCAGTGCGACCAACAGTCATCACAAACCTACCCCCATCATTACCAATGGACCCCCAGCATCACTCAAAGAGAAGGCTGAGAGTGAGCGTCTGGGGGTCAAGGTGCTCAGCTACCCCCAGTATTGCCGCTTCCGCTCCCTGCAGAGACGCATTCAGGACGGGGTGGTGTTGGGGCTGCAGGATCCCCATCTGCTTGCCCTGGGGGGGATCAGGGTGGCCCAACACAACACCCGGGTCCTCTACTGCAGGGACACTTTCAACCACCCCACCCTGGATAGCAACACCAGTGTCTGGACACAGCTGGGTGAGTGGCTGGCTGGGGGAACTTGATCTCTCTATGTTGATGTACTGTAAATGTGGCCATTGGCCAAAGTGATTTGATTTTATAAGCCTAATTGGGCAATGGAATCTAAAATTTGATGACAAGACATTTTTATGAATTCATGCAACCTCAAACTATTATCTTATTGACCGACACATTTACTGTATGCTGTGGACATAATGTGCTGAAGTTATGGGATATACAAAAATACAATATCTTGTGTATTTTTGAGAGGCACGTGCTTCTCTTGTTATTTGGAATTAGGATTAAATGTATCTCTCTCGTTCCCAGGATGCACCTCTCTCAGCTTGAAGGGGCGACCCCTCAAGAGAAGAGGCAGGCCAGAAGACCAGAAAGCTGTGGAGCCACCAGCCCTCAACCAATCAGAGTCCTGGATAGAAAGAATGAAGGTACATGTTGTTTTGTTCTATAAAGTTTTGATATGGCTACATACCAACTTCTTCCAGTTACTGTCAGATGTCTTATTATTCATCTCATATTCATTTAGAAATTACTTTATATCCTAGTAATTACCTTTAGGTTTCTTTGTTATGAAGTGCATCACAACACACTATTTGTGCAATTACTATTCTTAGAAATGAAAATTCCACATAATTTCCTAATGGACACCAACTGAAATGGGACTGTAACAGAAAATAAATGGGACTGTACAGCATTACCACATGTAGTATGGTTCTAACATTATGTATTCTGTAGGAGAATGTGATGGGCAGTGTGGAGATGCAATGTGAGGGGGGCTGGCTCCTCCACCCTGAGGAGCAGATGTTCCTGGATCAACTCTACTGCTACATGGAGCACTGCGGCTCACCCATCAGCAAGGTGCCCAACCTTGGCTTCAAGAAGAGTGAGTCACTCACTGATGACTTCATCAACAACCATTAATACTCATACCAAAGGCTTTGAATACAAAGGGTCCTTTGTTGTACTTTCAGTTTGATGCGTTCTCCCTACAGAACTAAAGAAAATGTTCCCACCATTTGGTTATGTTTTTGAACAAGCTGTATATCTGTCAGTGTTGTAAACCAGACAGTCAAGGTCACAGCTCTTAGGACCTATGGGATGCTTTAACACTCTTATCTGTGTGTGTCCACAGTTGACCTGTTTGTCATGTACTCTGTAGTCAAACGGCTGGGGGGCCATGAGAGGGTGAGTAGTCATTCTTTATTACATTTACATTTTAGTCATTTAGCAGACGCTCTTATCCAGAGCGACTTACAGGAGCAATTAGGGTTAAGTGCCTTGCATCAGATTCTTCACCTAGTCGGCTCGGGGATTAGAACCAGCGACCTTTCGGTTACTGGCACAACGCTCTTAACCACTAAGCTACCTGCCGCATCATCCACATATCTTATACAATAGTGGATAGATCGCAAAATCTGAGCCAATTACTTAGAACTGTTTATGAAAAGTTAATTGTCTAAAAAATTATTTAAAACCCTTTACAATCTCTCCTGTAGGTGACGTCCCAGCGTCTGTGGAAGAAAGTGTATAATGAACTAGGAGGATGCCCGGGCAGCACCAGCGCTGCCACCTGCACAAGGAGGCACTATGAAAGGTAAGGCAGGAACACTGCTGGTGCCCCACCTAAAAAAGGCAACCATGTTCATAACTAAAGTGCACAACTATTACCCAGGCTTCAGCCTATTAATCAAAAAGTAATAAAAAGATTATAGTTCTCTAGAATGATGCCGTTAATGTACTTGATGGAAATCCCCGGCAGTTTAGGCTTCTTGTCCTTGGTGTTTCCTTACAAAACTTGTTTTTCTTTCTGGAACTTTTGGCTTTGTGTGTTTCCCTCAGGCTGATTCTTCCTTTCGTGGAGCACATAAACGGAGGTGGTGCAGAACTCAAACTCCCAGCAGCCTCAGGGCCTACCCGGGTTAGGGGGATGAGTGGGAGGAGACCACTGGTGAAGAGGAGAGGAGCAGAGGCCAACCAGGAGAAGACTGTAACCCCTACCCCTCCTCCAGTGAGTGTCTGTCTGCACATACAGTTCATAATTTTTGACTTGCTCAGTACATGTCAGTCATTTGATATTTAATATGCAGTCATCGCTCATTATGTCTTGATCTGAATCTGATGTAAATTAATGTATGAGTGTATTCTATGACGTTATAGAGACTGAACTGAGATAATTCCTCATGTATGGCATCTCTCTCTCACTAGACTATTTCTCAAGACGGTGTGGTGGTAGTGAAGAGAGGCCGTGGTAGACCTCCAGGCAAAAAGAACCAGGTCAAACTCCTAGCCTCCAAGGCCAGTCCAGTAGTCCTGTCTCCCCCAGCTAAACCCAGCCTGGACCTGGGAGCCCAGCCCCCCCTCCAGGCCCCCTCTCTCGAGTCCCTGTCTGTGTTCCAGGGGCTAAACCTGGCCAACCTGCCACTAACCCCAGACCTGTCCCCCATGTCTGCCCCCTTCCTCCCCCTCCTGCCCAAAACTGAGAGGGAGGTCAAGATGGAGAACGGGGATACTCCAGAACCATCACCCACTCTGTCTCCTGCCACTTTCTTGCCTGCTCTCCCCAGGCTCCACACAGGGGGGTCCTTCGGAGGGTTCAGCCCCACTAAAGGCCTCTGTACCCTGGATCTCTTTAGGAGCCGACTGGGCCTCACTAGCCTGGACACCCCTGGTCTAACCCCCCAGGACCATGCCTCCCACCAGCCCTCCAGCCTTTACCTCCAGGCCAAGGCAGGGAGCCCAAATGCCACCCTTCCCAATGGGAACCAGCCCTATCCCCACCCCCAGTCTCACCACCAGTCCCACCACCAGTGCTGGGGGTGCGGGCTGGATGAGGAAGCCCAGAGGAGGGGCAGCAGCACCAGGGAGGGCCATACCAGCAGACCTACCCTGCCCCCTCTCCGGGTCCTCCCCCTGGATCTGGACTGCAGCCTGCAGGTGCGCCAGCTGATGCGTACGCGGCTGGGCTCGGCCCAGCTCCACTCTTTCACCAAGCGGCTGTCGGAGGTCTTAGCCCAGGACCTGAGTAGCAAGCCACATCTGCCCGTCACCCCTCCCCCAGAGCCGGCCCTGCCCCTCAACCTCAGCAAGCGCTCCACCACCAAAAGATCTGCCTTTGATGAAACTGACTCCAGGATATCTTCAGGGGATCAGGATAATGGTGACTCCACACTCCCCTTAGCTAAAAGGCGTAGAGTGGAGTCGTGTGATGAGGCTGAGGACCTGAGCTCACCCAGCAGGGCCAGGGCTTTCCTCCTGTAGCTGCCCCAGCACACCACAACTACACCCCCTGGAGAACCAGGGCAGGACATTTGACTCTGAGCCAGCAATCCAGGTGAAGGTGGAAGAGGACCTGAGGGAGAGCAGCTTGGTGGAGCTTGAGGAAGACTGCTCTGTAAGGACAGAGCAGGTGAAAGTGGAGGAGGGAGAAACTGTAAAGATGGAGGAGGATGGGGAAGAAGAGAAGATGGAGGTTGAAACTGTTAAAATTGAGGATGGTGTACAAGCGCAATCAGGGAAAGATGAAGGAGAAGAGGTGGAGGGGAGGAAACTGGAGTGGATAGAAAAATAGTATAATACCATAAAGATGGGCGATGGCATATCAGAGAGGGTGAAGGGGACTAAGGACTCCTTAGCCCACTCTGCCAGTGGCTCTGGGGGCCAGCAGGTGCCAATGGACCATGAGGAGATGGAATGTGATGTTGAGGCATCTATCAAAGGGCTGCCCAGTCCTATCCTGCCCCCAACACTGGCCCAGGCACAGCCAAGCTGCCTGAACACCTACACACAACCCCAACTGCACATAAGACTTATGACCAACGCTGACAATCACTCCACCACTCTACCTTATGGGAGGATACTCTCAAACATACAATCAAAGACTAATCCTATAAACTCCATAACGACTCACACAACCACACTTTGAAAACACTGCCATTGCCTTTAGATGACACCATTATATTGTTCTGTATAAAACTATGCATCATACAACTTTCGTGCTTCTAACTTTATTACACAAAAATTAAGAGTGCAGAAGTTTTTACAACAATCCACTCATTTCCTGAAAAGGATTGGATAAAAGATAAAATATTTTGCGCTCTAATTTCTAGTCATTCACACAGTCACACAGAACAATAGCTAGGGGTGTATTCATTACCAAATGCAAACAAACGGGACGAAATGGGAAGGGACCTATATGAATTTGTCCAATAGAAACTCTAGTTTTCATTGCAAACTACTTTTCCGTTGCGAAACGTTTTGCTAAAATGTGCACTAATGAATACACCCCAGGAAACAGTGTTTGAGTCCTATATGTACTTCCTGTTTGCCAGTCTCCAACACTGACAGGATTTTCACACCTAAGGTACTTGGTCCCTTTTCTTTCTTTTATGAGGCAGTCATTTACAATATTTATGAATATTTCCTCTGATGCCAATGTTTTGATATTTTAATGTATGTGTCTAGTTTAGAGAAACAATGCTGACACCACTTGAGGTTTTTAGTCCTTGGTGCCTTGATCAGAGTTTGACTCCAGTAATTCTGTCAGACGGTTGGTATATTGTATCTTGTGTATGGACCTGGGGTGTACTCAGATCTGATTTACAGTAGCAGGGGAATTCTATTGACTACAAGAACCAAAGGCCTTTCATAACTCATTCAATGGAGAGAGTACAAGTTTTCAGTTGTGCTATATATATATATATGATTTTTCTGAATATATATATATATATATATATATATATATATATATATATATATATATATATATATATATATATATATATATATAATATTTCTCAAACCAATATTTTTTCCCTTTTTGATATTCTTATGATATACAGTGAGGGGAAAAAAGTATTTGATCCCCTGCTGATTTTGTACGTTTGCCCACTGACAAAGAAATTATCAGTCTATAATTTTAATGGTAGGTTTATTTGAACAGTGAGAGACAGAATAACAACAAAATAATCCAGAAAAACGCATGTCAAAAATGTTATAAATTGATTTGCATTTTAATGAGGGAAATAAGTATTTGAACCCCTCTCAATCAGAAAGATTTCTGGCTCCCAGGTGTCTTTTATACAGGTAACGAGCTGAGATTAGGAGCACACTCTTAAAGGGAGTGCTCCTAATCTCAGCTTGTTACCTGTCTAAAAGACACCTGTCCACAGAAGCAATCAATCAATCAGATTCCAAACTCTCCACCATGGCCAAGACCAAAGAGCTCTCCAAGGATGTCAGGGACAAGATTGTAGACCTACACAAGGCAGGAATGGGCTACAAGACCATCGCCAAGCAGCTTGGTGAAAAGGTGACAACAGTTGGTGCGATTATTCGCAAATGGAAGAAACACAAAAGAACTGTCCCCTCGGCCTGGGGCTCCATGCAAGATCTCACCTCGTGGAGTTGCAATGATCATGAGAACGGTGAGGAATCAGCCCAGAACTACACGGGAGGATCTTGTTAATGATCTCAAGGAAGCTGGGACCATAGTCACCAAGAAAACAATTGGTAACACACTACGCCGTGAAGGACTGAAATCCTGCAGCGACCGCAAGGTCCCCCTGCTCAAGAAAGCACATATACAGGGCCGTCTGTAGTTTGCCAATAAACATCTGAATGATTCAGAGGAGAACTGGGTGAAAATGTTGTGGTCAGATGAGACCAAAATGGAGCTCTTTGGCATCAACTAAACTCGCCGTGTTTGGAGGAGGAGGAATGCTGCCTATGACCCCAAGAACACCATCCCCACCGTCAAACATGGAGGTGGAAACATTATGCTTTGGGTGTGTTTTTCTGCCAAGGGGACAGGACAACTTCACCGCATCAAAGGGACGATGGACGGGGCCATGTACCGTCAAATCTTGGGTGAGAACCTCCTTCCCTCAGCCAGGGCATTGAAAATGGGCCGTGGATGGGTATTCCAGCATGACAGTGACCCAAAACACACGGCCAAGGCAACAAAGGAGTGGCTCAAGAAGAAGCACTTTAAGGTCCTGGAGTGGCCTAGCCAGGGTCAAATACTTATTTCCCTCATTAAAATGCAAATCAATTTATAACATTTTTGACATGGGTTTTTCTGGATTTTTTTGTTGTTATTCTGTCTCTCACTGTTCAAATAAAATTATATTGAAGAAGGGTCAAATACTTATTTCCCTCATTAAAATGCAAATCAATTTATAACATTTTTGACATGGGTTTTTCTGGATTTTTTTGTTGTTATTCTGTCTCTCACTGTTCAAATAAAATTATATTGAAGAAGGGTCATACTTATTTCCCTCATTAAAATGCAAATCAATTTATAACATTTTTGACATGGGTTTTTCTGGATTTTTTTGTTGTTATTCTGTCTCTCACTGTTCAAATAAACCTACCATTAAAATTATAGACTGATCATGTCTTTGTCAGTGGGCAAACGTACAAAATCAGCAGGGGATCAAATACTTTTTTCCTTCACTGTAAGTGTATGTAAACTTCCGACTTCAACTGTATATGGCATCATAGTATTTTCCCTCACTTTCAACAATTGGAGCTATTTGTGGTTCATCCTGTTACTATTGAGTGTCTATCCTCATTGCAGCCTAATGTATTTATTTATGTTTTAAAAAGGCAGCATACCTTTGGTGAAAGGTCCACATGCCTGCCATTGGGCTACACATCATTTTGGTGTGACAAGTTCCTCATCGAGTTGAATAGGGTTTAGGTATTTAGTTAAATTAGTGTTTGTGTAGCTTTTTTATGTTATTTTTTATCATTTACAGTTTAAGATAAAATGTTTACATTCAATAATGCAACAAATATTAAGTTGATTTTGTATCTTTAGTGCTTTGCAGACGGTCAGACTGGTACTGTATTAGAGTTGGTTCACAGTATACCTACTTCTGGAATGGTTCAAATGGGAACAAGAGTCCATCTTCATTCAACTATGGTGGGCTTAAAGAGATTCTCTGCTACTTTTGTATACTTTTTAGCCAGTAGTTCTGAAAGTAGCACACACGAGCCAAAAGTAGTCCCCGGAGATTGCGTACTACGTCACATATGTGCAGATATGTGTGCCACGTCATTGTTCGCTCTCTCTCCATTAATCTCACTTGCTCACTGAGTCGTTGAGCCCGCCCTGCAACCTCATTGGAGAACGCTGGGCAGGCCTCTTGTTAGCTGCCACTCAAATACGAGGGGCTGAAGCTCATTGGCTTGAACTCAAATTGCTTCAAGAAAACGGTCGCTTTCAAACTAGAGATTATGTGGCTAATTGAGGTAAGACAGTAATTCTGCTCATAGATTATGCATGTATGAACTACCCATTGACACATCCAGCCCAAAGCGGGAGGATTACAAAATACTTTTTTAGTCGCCAAAGTACCAGAGCATGTATTTAAACTATTCTTAGAAAGAGAAAGAATAGCACAGAATAGTGTTTTCTTTTCCCCCTTTTATTACTTGAACAACTGCTACAGAGTTAATGTCATGTAGTTATGTCTCTATTTAAACCTGTGTATCAGTTGAGCTCATCTTGTTCGTAGAAGAAATCTGCCTCTGGTATTCCTTTCTCTGTGTATGAGAGTAAGGCCAGTGCCATGCACATCTTGACTCCTGTACTCTGACAATTGATTTATATGGTAATTTCAACCATTTGTTTTAACACTGTATATTTATATTAAAGATGTATCTGTTAAAAGGTGGGGGGTTACAGATTTTTGTATGAGTGTATATACATCTTTTATGGGCGTTTTTTAATTTCAGACACAGATTAAGCCTAATCCTGTACTAAAATGCAGTTTCAATGGAGATTCTCCATTGAGCTTGCATTTTAGTCCAGGACTAGGTTTAATCTGTATCTGGGGAAACCACCCCTAGTGTATGAAAATGTCTGTGTCTCTTTCGCGAGGCAAGTAGAGACCTGCAGTTTCCTAAAATGACTACTAGATGGAGACAAAACACCAGCACTGTCCTATGACAGGCCTGACGATGCATTCTACAGTCCTAGAGGGGAGGAAGGATACTCTACGCTAGCCTACAGAAGTAAGTGCTGAGTTTGCTACAGAGCTAAAAAGATCAGTGCAGATACATTCCATCATTTAACAGCCCAGAGATCTTGAATATATATGAGCTTCAGTGGGCCTTGCACTTGGGCATGTGTCAAAATGCCTAGCTTAGCTATAATTTGAGAAAGTGTTTTGTTAACTGCTAGTTCTACGTGTGTCAGGAATCACAAACCATTTACTGAGACCTTCCAGAGAAATGGATGGTGTGTGTTTGGGGGACAAGTCAATCTTATTAAAAATATTAAATGTACTTTCAGTAGCCTAGTCTTGCTTTAGTGTATTGTTCATCCACCCCTGTGAATTCATTCAATGTCCCACAAGCACACAAATACTTCCGTACTTTTCTATATTAAACACACACTGGATTCTTGTTGATGGAAGCAGCTCCTGTATTCAATGCTCCAGCCAGGCCGGACATTTAGTTAAAACAATCACACCAAAGAGAAAATAAACACATTCCAGAAGCCACCAGAACATTGCTTTGTTATTCTGGTCGCCGCTCAGTGAAGAGGTAACTGGGGTTCAG